GCAATATAATGCCGCAGGGTGCATAAACGCCAATAAAGCAAGGTTGGGATATGCAGCCTACATTTTCTTAATTAAGCATAAATAGGCCTTAGCATAGTTAATATATATAACTTGTGCATAACTGCAATATATTAATAAAGGATTGCATATATGGTAAATGCGCAATTAGCATAAGATTATAAGAGCCCTGGGTTTAATCCTTACTATGCGTAATATAAGAGCAGGAAGGGAGCTATATAATGGGCTTAGGTTATTGCTTAAGCCGTAATGCATATCTATGCCAAACCCATATTATACCCAACCCTTTTATATAACAAAGCATATACTTAAAAGATAAATCTAGAGTTGGGCCCTTTTAAAGCTTAATTTACTTCTTAAATATTGCAATTTATAACTCCTTTTAAGTACCTTTTAACAAACGCTTAAGGCCAACTCATAACATAAGGATTAATTTATTTAGTTTAATAATATTATTAATAGCTTTTATAGTTATTTATAAGATAATATCATTATTTATGCTATTATATAGTTTAGTATATAGGATTTTATATGCTTATTTAAAAGCTTAATAATATTTCTTAACTTTCTTAATAAACTAATATGCCTTTATGGGAACTTATTTATATTTAATTCCTATTATTTATGCCTTTAAATGAAATTTTAAAGATGCAAAGTTTATTTTTATATTATATTTAATGATATTTAGTAGTTCTTGGTATATATTAATTTAAAGCATTTATAATATCTGCCATGTAATCTTTATAAATATAAATTTTAAGAATTTCGCTTTTTAAAAAGCAATAACTTAATTTATAATATGGAGAACTAAATATTTACTTAAATATATTACGTTAACTAAGATTTTATAATTAAATTTATAATTATTATATAATATAAACTTAAAATGCTTAAGTATAGGTTTATTTATTTAATAATAATAATATATCTTCTTAATTTTTACTATTGCTTATTTATTAATATTTAAATTATTAACTTTTTTAAGCATTTAGCATAGTTAATTTATTAATAAGTATTTAAAGCAATAATAAAGTTTCCTTATTTCTATCTTTAAGAAGAAATACATAGCATTAATAATTTAATTTAGGAAAAACCATAAGTAACTCCATTTTCTAAGTATTAATATAATAATTACATTATTAAAGGAAACCATTTTATTTATAATATTATTATAATATACTTAAAGCCTATTTATATTTGCTAAGCAAAGTAAAAATAGGGTTTATGCTTAAATAATATAAAAATTAATATAATTAATTAAAGTAGAAACTTTTATTATGCTAAGCAAATTAATAATTATCCTATTATTAAATTTAACTTTAGCTTTTTTTATAGCAATTATATTAATTTAATACTTTAAGTTTTCTTATTATAATGCAAGAAATTACTTATATTTAGCTATAAATATTAATAATGCTTTAATATTTAATAAGATTCCTTAAAAATAAGTTTAATTATATTTATTCTTTAAGATAAATTAGCTAGCTATAATAATTATTTTTATTTAAAAGATATTATTTCCCATAATTTAATGCATAAACATTTTATTAATCAAGAAATTAATATTTATATAATAAACCTCTTTATTAAGTCCTACCTTTATAATATAAGCATTATTATTATAATCATTATCTTAATCTTATTTATTTTTATATTTATAAAATTTATCTTTATTATTTATCTTATATCCCTTAAATTTATTTAAAAAAGTATTAAAGTTATTATTATAATCTTTATATTTATATTATATTAAATAACTTCTTCTTATTAAACATTACTTATTAGCTAAATATTTAATTAATTAACATCCTTCCTTCTTATAAATATAATATCTTTTCTTTTAAAGTTATCCTTTTCCTCCTTCTTTATAAGCATTATTACTTTAAGCTTTATAGCTAATGCCATAAGATTTTAGCTACCTAAAGCTTAAATAATTTAAGTTTAATTAGCTAAACCTTTAATTTCCTTAAAATACCTAAAACTATAACCATTATCCTCCTCTTAGCTTTTAATCATTATACTTATAATTAATATAATATTAATTTAAAACTTTATTTATAATGTAAATTATAATTACGTAACTAAATTATATTTTTACTATAAATCTTAAGTTTAAAAATAACTCTTTATATAATTAAGCTAATTTAAAAAGAGCTATTTTTAGCTTAGGAACTCCTTTATAAGCTTTAATTACCATTATTCTTAAATTATCCTTCTTAACATAATCTTAACCTAATGCTTATTAATAAAGTTACAGCTTATTAAGCATTAAATATAAAACCTTATGCAAGTTTTTATTTAAGTTTTATGCTTTTATTTTTATAAATATTATTATTATTTAATTTATATAATAATATTAATAATTAAGATTTATATTAAAATATATCTTAATTTTAAGGTACGTTATTATAAATATATTAATTTAATTTATAAAATAAAAATAATAAGCCTTAGCTTAATCTTTAAGCATTTAAAGAAAAACTATATAAAATTAACTTAGCTAAATTTTAATATAATAATAAATATTAAAAAATATCTTTATTTTATTATTTAGCAAATTATATAAATCCTTAATATACTTATAAAAGTTATTAAAGGTTTTTATAAATTATATTAACTTTACTAAATTTAAGCATTTATTAAAAATATATTATAAGGAAAGAGTTTTATATAGGTTATACTTTTTATTTAATAAAGGCATTTTTAAGGCAGCCTAAAGTTATGCTAAGTATAATATATATCTTTAATATAAGCTTTATCTTTATCTTTTTATTAATAATAATAAGCCTTGCTAGCTATATTAGTTTTTAATAAATTATATTACTAAGTTTAGATTTTGTGATTATATACCTAAAGCTAGCGGTAGTAATAAAAGTTATTTTAAGGACTATCCTCTTAGCAATTATTATTATTTAAAGCCTACCTATAATGCTTATAAGGGTTATGCTTATAATTATTATTTTTAAAGTTAAGTATAATATTTATTTATGCTTAATTTTAAGGCTAATAAGGCATTATAAAGCTTATTATTAATTTATTTTAATCTTTCCTTAGCTTAAGCTATAGCAACTAATTATAATACTATAAGTTAATTATTATATCTTATATAAATACCTTATATTTAAAGGAAGACTTTTAAATATTATTAGCAAGGATTTAGCAATACTTTAAATATTACCTATATTTACATTATATAATTCTTATAATAAGCAATAAAAAGGTCGTTATTATAAAGATTTTATTGCATATAGCTTGCTAAAATACTTGCTAAGTAGGTAATTAAGTATTTTATTAATGCTTCCTATATAAAGGCCGTAAACCATAATTCCAAGTTAATATATTTATAATAGGCTAAATTAATTAAAGTTTAAGTAAGCATCTTATTAACTATATATCCTTTAATAAGAGTTAATAGCTTTTTAGCATTATTAGCTATTCTTATAAATTTTTATAGTAAATATTATAAAGAGTAAGATTAATAAAATAAAGAAATATTAATGAAATAAGTAATATTTTAAGAGTAAGTTAATAATAATAATTTAATAATAAGTAAGTTATAGTTATTAAAAGGAAAAAGTTATTAATTCCTTTAAGCCTTAAAAGCTAAGGCTTTTTTTTATTATTAAGTCCTTTTATATTAGCCGGAAGCATAATATATAACTTGCGCTTACTTATAATATAGCATTACATTAGCTTTAATAATTATAATAATTATAAGCTTTATTTATTTAATAATTATAATAATTGTAAGCTTTATTTATTTAGTAAAACGGAGCTTTATTAAGTTTTATTAGGTTTTAAAGAAAAGTTAAAGATAAGTTTATAATAAGTTTATTTTTAATAAAGTTTTATATATAATAAACGCATATCTTTTAAATATTAATAAATATATATATAAATATTATAAGGAATGCTACTTAGTTTATTTAATTTTCGTAATATTTGCTTAGGGAGTTTAATAATATAAGGAGGCTTAAAAAAGCAGTTATTGCTATATAGCGCTTATTAATAAGGAGGATATAATTTTTAGGTTAGGGAAATCTTTATAGGGTTGCCTCTTTTACCTTATTAATTTATAATACCTATAATTACTAATTAGTATTGGTAGGTTTCTTATATGTACGATAATTATATGGGAAGCAATTGTATATTAGTGTTGTTCTGTCTAAGTTCTGAGAGGCTACGTGCCCCGGAGGGGATAACTAAAGTAGCCTTCCAAGTATGAGGGTCGTACTTGCCAACAGTAATAGCTCTCTGGATGGTTGGAAGAGATGGGACCCTTGAATAGAGTCAAGATCTGGAAGGGGAAAATATCAAAGAACTTCTCAAAGAGCCGTACTTCGGTGTTCCCAGTGACATGTTATCGTGCACGCTGTTGTGCAAGCAAGCATCAGACTGACGTAAATGTCATGAAGCAATACGTGAAACAAAATTCTCTTTACTCCCAATGGTCTCGTAGAAGGAAGGCAAAAGATACCACGGTTGCTGAAAGGGGCTTTTGTGGCTTATCTTCGGATGTGGAGTGAAATTAAGATCCCACTGCCAAGCGTGTGGACTTTGGAGATTCTGGAAACCACGAGCGTACATGCAGATCGTACATGCAGATGAGATCGCCACCTGTTCGAGTATGAAGCAGTCCATACGAAACTGTTTGTTTCCCAATGCGCCTTCAATACGATCCCATCGCAGAAAACCCATCCCCACATACTGACAGACCCAAAAGATCCAGCATTGACGTTCAAAACGCTTCACATGTTGGCTTTAAAGGCGATCAAGGCACAAAACAACAAGAGAAACACCAAGCCAAAACAGAAAGCGGGTGTAGACAACACCGAGTGTATTAACGCTCCATGCCCAGTTTCCTGTCCTATGCCCGACAACAAAACATCCTCAGGGCGAGATTCCTACGCCTCCACCAAAATTGACTGGGCGACTAGAAAGCATGGGGCATGTCAACGGAAATTTTCTGGTACGTAGCCTGCTCAGTTGACCCAGCCCACGAGCCGCTGCGCGACGTCGCTAACATAGGCCGGGTTTCCGGCCCCGTTCGGAGCAGTGCTGAGATCCGAGGCGATTACGCTGCCCGAGTTGTACTCGCGCATGGCCGGGTAGATTGTCTGCTCCGAGTTCTGGTTCCCCCAGTTTCCGAGGTTGAGCTTGAAGTGCTGGGTGCCGCAGTCGACCATGTAGGTGATTTCGGCCTGTAATTGTATTATGTCTGTTAGTCAGGAGAATCCTGAGGTGAGCTGGATGGAGTGATTTGAGGAGAAGGACCAGGAGGAAGGACCAGCGGGAAGGGGTAGGGTGAGTGGGTTGTCCTTGTTACCTGAGCGAGGTTCTTCTGGCCGTCATAGCCATGGCAGCTGCTTGCCTGCATTAGGCCGCCGGTGGGCACACCGTCCGCGTCAAATGTTGTCACCGCGCCAACACCACCATGGCTCTCCTCCATCATCATTCCGAGCAGCACGCGACGGTCAATGCCGTAGGTCTTGCCGACGCTGGTGATGGCGACGCGGATGCGGTCCACTGGAACAAGTTATGTCAGCGGCTTTCGTTTGACTTGTCTTGGGGTCCACGTGAGTTGTTTGAAGGCCAAACAAGTCTCTTGGACGATCAAAGACCGCAGTGTCCAATTTCAAGCCGGCCTTATGAAGACCAAACGATCTCCCAGGTATGGGTTTGGATGCCAATGTGGGCTAGGAACTGCAATGAGACTTGACCCACCATCTTGCTGGGTGCTCCCAGAGGCGAACATGGACGGCGTGTTTGCATTGAACTGTTCCAGGACAATACGAGTCAGTAATCCCATTCAGTTCTCCAGAGGACGTGTGGCAGGCTTTTCGCCCAGACAGGGAATGAGCTGTGTGAAGAAGTGTTTTAATGTCTGAAGGAACCCACCATGGTGTCGAAGGCGATCCATTTGTTCATGGCCGGGAAGCTTGACCAAGGGCCAGAGTACAGCTTCTTGGCTGGAGGGATCTCGTCGGCCAGGTTCTTTGGCGGAGCGAATTGCACGCCCTCTGCTTTCGCTGAAGCGGTGGGAGCCGCAAGGGCGACGATAGGGCAATAAGCCAGGACTGCGAGGATAATGTGCATGACAAACATCGCGATGGTAGAAAAGTGGCATATCAGTATGTGAATCGATGTGAAGAGTTGGGCCAGTTACTCTCTACCGGTCTTGGGAAAACTCGGTTGTTGTTGAGGTGCTGGTGAAGGCTGTCGGGTGGGTAATGGGAGCTTGGGGTTTGGGGAAGTTGAAAGTTCCTCGACCTTCAGTATCTAGATGCCTCAATTCAATATTGACCGCTCTATGAATCTGTCACGCTTAACTTGCGAAGTGATTCATCGTAGATAAGTGAGCCACTACCAGAGTTAGCATTCTCTCATGATGACTTGACTGAGGCTTGCCACCGTTGGAAACGAAATTCCAAACGATCAAGTATATCTTCTAGTGTTTTAACGGGGACAGAATCCATGCTGAGACCCATCATTCCAGCCAACATCGTTGTCTGGAGGTAATTGTTCTTGAACTGAAATAATTGTGTTCATCGTGAGTGAGAGTACATCAGAACACTCCTGATTTGCGTGAGCAAACATTCCACTTCGCCATTCAGATCCTTGAACGACACGCTTAGAGAAATGCACTTGCTTCGAATTAATCTATAAATTTACATATAAGTGTTTTTCAAGCTCGCTGTCAATACTGAGAGTAAATTATGAGAATTGCTGAGTGAAACTGACAGTTGACTTGTATCCAATGGTAGTGGTTGCTCACTTAACTCGTCTGGTTTTGAAAACGGTCCTGCTTTTGAGCTTGATAACGGGACCTTGGAGCAATTTCTTCTCTGGAATGAGACATGAGTTATTGGAGGGCAGTCCCCCACGATACCAAAGCACTTCTTTGATGGCATCTGGGTGGATAGAATTGTTTCTGTAAATGCACGTATGATGCCATGCCAGAATTGGAGATTGACGGCATATATCTCGAAGCTGCGCTGCTGCAGGCGAGCAGTGAATTCATCCACTGGCACTGAAGCTCCTGGCTACACGTTCAGGTAGAAGCAGAGCGGTCCGGGGTACGTGTAGATATGGAAACGCCCCTAGTGTTAGACTCAATTGGTTGGGCTTGGTGTGTGTTGCTATGCGGTAGAAGGTGAGACAAATAAGCGAAGAAATGAGTTGACAAGGAGACATGAGGTTCTATTGTGCACCAGGGTTCTCAAGCACAATGCTTATTAGGTTTCACAGTACTGTGTTCCTCTCTGCACACTTGTACTCAAATCTGCACTTGAGCTTTAGTTCATGACACATGTGTATATGTCAGATTAAAATAATCAACCACAATCTTTGGGCCAATGTCACCAGAGAAGTAACACGCACACGAGACCGAATCATATTGTAAGCATGTTTGGAATTTTGCTTGCCGTGCTCTATTCTCATGTGGATTCCGAAAGCTCAAACTTCCAAGTTGTGTGAGTGCAATTGTTTCAGGAAGTGATGAATGTTCGTGTTGACAAATAACACATGGAGATCTCATGCGACTCGCATCCAAGGCCGAATTCGCTCTGCATCAAAAGAGGCCACTCCAACGCTGACCTGACAAGGCTTCGTTATATTCTGTTAGAGCCCTGTGACTTCTGCCTTGCTCCCACGAGTCTGGTATCAGTAAGGCCATGGTACAAAATTTCAATGCGTCAAGTTGAAATTGCCTCAGAATTCAACGATGCTGAGGTGATATGGGGTTTCTGATCGTGTTGGACTCAGAAGTTTGATTTACCAATGTTGATTTCACGATGGCGAATTCAACACTACCTCTGTACCACGTAAAGGCTTGTGCTTAGGAAAGGAGGCACACCAAAGACCAATGACAATGTTGCCAAGGCGGGCGTGCCCGTCATGGCTGCCGGTCCGCAGCCCGCCATGAGTGCCGCTGAGGACGTGCGGATGCATGCAGGGGAAGCAGGTTTTCAGCGAATGGATGTCCAGAACAGGAAATGATACGCAGTGGCTAGCCTCACAACTTGTCAGTCACCCAACGCGCCAGCAAGCCAGCAGAGCGACACCGCTGAGGCCTCCCGGATCATGAGACTGCTCTAGATCGACCTCGTTGCTGGGCTCCCGCTGCCTGACGTGTGAGGTGATCGAGGCGGGCTGGGTATTGGTTGGTTGTGCAGAGCCGGCGTGGTCGTGACGAGAGATCATCAGCACCGGGGGATCGACTCTTCGCATGGATGGGCTCAAGCACATTTTGATTACTATAACAGCAAATGACAGCCGGTGCCCAGGCTGCCAGGCAGTCTAGAGTAGAGTACGTAGTGCAGCAGAGGGAGCGAAATATCCGCGAAGCCACGAAGTAACGTCAGTATTTCGGCAGGTTATGCCTATTCGCGGATCACCAGAGTACTGTTGCAATGTCGTCTCTTGCCTCGCATGTCGTTGAAAGAAGTTTGTGGCTGGTGCAGCGGGCTGCAGCTGAGTGAGGAGGACCCGCAGAAAGCCGGGAGCGGTTGCAGTTTCAGGAGGGGCCCAATCAATCACAGCAGAAAGCTCCGAAGGCCCACCGGTTTGTTCTGGGCTGGTGTGGGCGTGGGGATCTGCGACATGGCGCCACACTTCCATCTCTCATCTTGGAGGGGCGCGTCGCGACCCAAGCTATGATCTCACCGGGCAACCGTCAAGGCAGGCCAGGTCCCAGGTCGAGCTTGGGGCTGGAACAAGTGAAGATGAAAAGTGACAGGGATGGAAGGGTGACGAGGTGAGTACTGTAATTAGTCCAGCTGCTGTGCCGACTAGGCCCCTCGGAAATTGCTGCCCTGGTCGATGATTTGAAGATGGGCTGACGAAGAGCTGCCACGAGGACACGGCAGATCTGGACGAGTACCCAATTGTGGCTCCTGAGCCAACTGTCCCGACCGGGGTGCGGGCCATGACGTACCACAGGGGGCAGAATCTTGGAACTGGACGCAGGTCTCACAGCATCAAACAGCGGGCATGGTGAGATGATAGGTAACCAGTACTCATCCGAATAGCTTCATGGCCATGCGCCCAGCGGTTGCAACGGTTACGTGGGTACCTGGGACCCATCTCCCATCTCGAACCGACCCCCTGGCAAATAAGGGGCCGGCGCACACGTCTGGACCATTTTACTTGGATGTGACTGTGACTGGTCCAGACTGGCTTGCAGCCTGTTGGGAGCAGCAAAGCGTGCGACTCGGCGTGACTTGGGAGTAGCACCACAGGCCAGCCAGTGTTGGATGATAAATAGCCTGGCTATTCTTTGCGGTACCTTCCTGTGCAGTTTCCCCTCCTCCTCCCCTCGCAGCCTTTCCCAACTTCCACAGCGACGATACTGCTTAGCAGGACTGAACCAATTTATACCCATCCTTCACTGCCGACAAGCCCGTCACCATGATCCTCACCGATCTTGTCTCTATGATATTCCGCCTAGCGGAGGTACGCTTCACCTTGGCACCACCCAAGCCGCACCCTGATATGCTTGCTGACTCCCTCTGTAGCTGGTCTTCGCGGCCATCGTCGCTGGTATAACCGGGGAACCACCTCCACGCCAGCCGAGGACAGTCGTCTTGGACACTGGGTCGCTTCATCTACGCTGAGGTCGTCGCGGGCATCTCCATCCTGCTGTCCCTCCTCTGGCTGCTCCCATTCTCCGGCAGCTTCATCCACTGGCCTGTCGACCTCATCATCTCGGCCGCCTGGTTCGCCGTCTTCGGTCTCCTGGTGGACTGGCTCGGCGGCAGCTGCGGCAACACCTTCGACTGGAGCGGCCTTGGCTTCCGCGGCAACGACTGCGGCTCCTGGAAGGCCGACGAGGCCTTCGCGTTCCTATCTGCCATCTGCTGGCTTGTCTCGGCCGTGCTTGGCATCTGGTGGACGCGCCGCCGCACTGCAAGCGGCACCGAGGCTACCACCCGGAGGAGGCGTTGGTACCGCTCGCGCGCGCGCGTCTAAGGTGGAGGCCTGACTGTGTTACGGTTTGACATCATGGACGACAATTGTTGTTCATCTGTCGGCCTGATGCGTAGACCTGTACTGTATGTGGATGCGAGTGGCTTCATACCGCATCCCACGGGCTGGCTCGGAGTTTTGCCTCCATTAAGGGAAGGCTACTTGCCCGAATCCTTAATTGGGGTGCAATGCTGCAACTTCCTGGACCTGGTGCTCTCCCTGATGCTCTTTCGTTTACACTGCGGAGGTCTGGCAGCTTATTCTGGAGTGGCTGGGGATGAGATTCGGAAGAGATGATACCACAAGCACGATGTAAAGATTGATACCCTTGCTTGATACCACCTTAATAATAGCAAAGCAATTAATTTAACAAGTAACTGCTAGAGAAAGCGCTGAGTTTGAAATTCAAGATACTTTTCCTCTAGCTCCTATCTGCTACAAAGTAAGACGGTCTGAAGAGCCCAGTCAACTACTTCCCAAGTGATGCCTGGGTCCCATGTTCCGCAGGCACAAGACACGAGGCACACGCAACTGCCCAACGCACAACCAAGTACACAAAGTTTTTGGAAGAGTGCAGTCACTAGGCACCTGTTGTCGACTTCAAGTCGGAAGCCATAACGAACACAATCCCCCAATCCCTACCCAATTCACTGAGGCTGCCGCCGTTTGAGCACCGATTCAATAGACGCGTTTACGATCCCCATAAATCACCACAATGTCGTTCCTCTCCTTCCTTGGCTCTTTACTCCCGACACGCTTTTTCGCTGACAACATTAAGACCGCCCAGACCGACGAGATCGACGAGGACGTCGCCACCATGGAGCAGTCCGAAAAGTTCCCTCTCTTTCCCAGGCTGCCCGCCGAGCTGCGCCACATGATCATCAACGAAGCGCTCTACGAGCACGAGGAGGAGACACATCGCGTCGCGCTCTTCGATCCACTGACCTGCCGCATCTCCCCTACCAAGGAGCTCGCTTCCATGGCCTCCCCTCTTCTGTTCGTCAATACCGAGTTCCGCAGCATCGCGCTCAAGGTCTACACCAAGGTCGACGTCTTCGACCTCGGCGCCCCAACGGAAGACCAGTACGGCCATGAGAGTGACTGGTACATGGTGCCAATGAATCGTGAATACTTGCTCTACTCTCACGCTGTTTGCGAACAGATGGAGGAGGAGCTAGAGGATCAGAGCGTGCAGAAGGTGAGATCAGCCCCACGAAAGCAGTCCCGCTCTTCTCCTAGCCTCTGTGGCTTCACTTCCGATTTCTAACTGGTTGTACACAGGGCTGCCTGTACATCAACCCCAAGAAGGACACATTCATCACCGGTAGTGTCCCACGGCAGGTCGCGCTCACGACTACCTTCCGCTCCCAGCCCGGCGAACCTGACCAACCTTGGAAGATACCACGGGACTTCGTGACAGAGCAGCTCGAGGAGGACACCTGCGCCAAGATCACCACGGTGCGGGAGCTCGAGTGGGACCTCGACGACAGGTGCCTCGGCTGCGGCACGTGCCTGCTCTGTGGGCGCATCAGCCGCCCGTGCTGCACGGAGGACTTCTTCGATGAGAGGGGATCAGGGTGGAGGCCTTTCCACAGTGAAGATTTCTTCACCGGCGTCGAGTCCTTCGGCTTCTACCTGTTGACCGCAGGGGACGACATGCAGCAGTTCCTTCACAGTCTGACCATCATGAGTGGCAAGGACTGTTTGGAGGAGGAATGGGACAAGAACTACCTGGAATTTGATCTCGGACGGCTTCGGGAGTAAACAATCTCAGGGATTCAGATGGCTTTGGGCCCGCGACTGTTGACCAAGACACATATCAGTGTTTGCTATCGCCGATTGGCTAGGCCATAGTCTGCGTAGTGTTCAATCAATTATCGCTTCGCGGCTTCGTCATTATACTCCTCAGCTTTAACCATCAGCGTCAGGACGGCATTCAAGTGCTCAAAAGACTGTGAGAAGCCAATGTTCGTTTCAAGTCTTGGAAATCTCTTGACAAGTCAGAAGACGAGTCAAGGTGGTCCACGTGTTGCCGAAACTTTATCCATGACTGTGAGGATGTCGCTACTAAAGGTAAAATGGCAAATTTTGGGTACCCTTGCTCTCATTCAACAACCCACACGCTGAGAGTAAGAGCTGCATTCAAGGAGTAGCCGGCCGCCCCGCCACCTATGCAAGCTAGAAAGGCAGAGAATCGAGCCAATGTGATACAAGCATTCGATCCTTGACTTGGAAACCCTCTCAAATAGTGGCAAGCTGTTATTCACCCGGCGCTGAATATAGTGCGCACCTTTTGAGCAAGGTAACAGGACCTGGCGAAGCGAGCATTCTCCTTGGAAACCAACTCGCCAGTGAGGTCGTGGCATGTGTCCACTGTAACGCCTTTGCCGCGGCCGGGCGGCTCCTTCACCAATAGTAGTAGGTGCACGGATACTTAGAAGTAGTCTGGTAAGGTATGAAGCAGACGGCGACGTCTCGGCACAACACATAAGCGGCCCTACCTCCTATTCGCTGTTCTGCCCGGCTCTGTCGTTGAAGAAGTTGTCCACACATATACCAATCGACCACTTCCCGTTTTTTCTTGCAGCGTGTCACGGCCAGACAAAATCCCGAGGCTTTTGGGGCCCAGGCCACATGGGAGTCAGAATGCGGCGTGACCCACGATCCATGCTCTAGAGGCGGGCACGCACATTAACGAAACTGTGTGCGCTGGCCCGCCAGGCAGAACTTGCAACTTGTGAGACACTGTCACACTATACCAGCAGGTCCGCCTGCCTTCTCTTTTTGCCTGCTGGATCGAGCCTTTGCCAGTAACACCGTGGCAGCCCTCTGTGCTCCCACACATGCGCGTTTGCTCTAGCTTGCAGGGCAGCTTTTGAACGGCTCACGGAAAAGGCAGCCATTCGGGTTCAGAAGCAGCTCTCTGTGCTTCCTTCGATGGTCCAAGTCCCTGAACAGACGGTCGTGTTCGACCAAGCCGTAGCCCAACGGACAGGATGGCTGAAGGGCAGACTCGCGAGCCAGTCAGCCAAGCAAGTCAGTCACACGAGGATGTCGGCATTCCGACGGACGACCATGTCAGGCCAAGCAAATGCTTCATTTGTTTTCGCAACGGACACCGCAGAGCCAGGCCTGTTTCCAGCCCGAATCCGAGAACTCTGAAGCCGTGCAGAGCCCAAGCTCAGCTTGCCCGCGGCCCAGGTAGCCTTGATGGGCCAGACGGGCGCCTTCTGTGCGACATTTGGATCATGGATACTCGGGTACATCTGTGTATGATATTAATCAGCGAGATTGTCGTGAGAAGACGTCTGGGAGATGATGCTTTGTGATGGGATGATGGGGGACTATGCAACGTCTTCCTGCCTCCATCATCTTCATATCTAAGCCCCCGAGGCTGTGTTCAGTATCCCTTGTCTTCAATATGGTGACGGACAGCTTGAGTCATCGCAGCTCATGTCTCGTCTCGTCTAGGTTCATACGGCACACCGAGACACTCTCTTCCTTCAATCTGTGCGCGTCACGATGCAGCAGCTGGGGCTGAGCAGCGCGGGGGTGGCGGCAGCCTCACCACGAGCTGTAACATAGGTCTCACGTAGACTAACTGTCTTTACCTTATGGGACTGTCAGCGAGCATACCATGCACAACACTGTCTTCTGCTGACCGAGTCGAGAAGACACCAGAGCCATGGACCTGCCGTGCTCGGCACAAGCTTGCCGAAGAGCTGCGGCACATTTCTGGCCAGCCCCTGTCCGGAGCAGGCGCCCCCTGTCTGGCCACTGTAGCAGTACACTCACGAGAGTCTCATCTGCCCCTGCCGTCACCAAAACACAGAGTGAGGTGACGTTGATCTAGCGGGCCGCCAGACCGAAGAGGCATGGGCGTGAGGTGGTTTGCCGTCGTGAGTGGCGGAAATTGCGTAGGACGTGCCCGACAGACTCCTAGGTACAGTAGCGAGTGCCTGGAGCCTTTTGCGACATGTCACGAGGGCAGGAGACCAGGCAGGGCCCGAGATCTAGGCCTTCCCAAGATGCGCATGTTGAAAAGTCCCGTTGATCATCTCGATTGACGTCGGCTGATGACGTGAGTGTGGGGAACTTGGAAGCTCGGGAGGAGATTGGCGTGCCAACCTGCGTGCCTGCCAAGCAGTCCAGGTGCTTGGGGCTACGTAGGTGCTGCTGTGAGCTTGCTACTATGTATGAGCTGCTAACGTAAATTAGTGCTGAATGGGGAAGTTGCGGCACAGCTCACGCCACACGTACCCCGCGGGAGTGGCTGTGCTGCGCCACAGGAAGGGTGATCGACGTTCCCGAAGGTTTGTTGTCGGTTGGGTTGCATTGCAGGCCGGGCTGGGAGGACCCAGCCCGTCAGCCCAGATATGACCCCCGTCTTCGCTCATACTGACGACGTCCGCCTCCCAAAGCCCAGCAGCTGCGTCCCGTTTCAGCAACAGAGCAGCGCACGACATCCCCTTCCTGGAAGTCGACTGTGAGTACCGTCAGCATGCCACCTCTCCCATCAGTCTCTCAGTCTCGACCAAATGGCCTGTTTCGCTTCTGCACACGTGGTGGAGTCTAGCGGCTGATCTCTGCCCCTAGAGCTCGCGGGCTAACCCTTCGCGACGTGCACCTTCGTCATTGCCTTTGCTTCCGCGCCGCATCTGTCTCAGGCGAGAGCCCTACGGACCAAGGCCAGGCAGGCAAGACAGGATGGCCCCGACCTGAATACGGTACAGATCAGATTAGCTCGTGGAGTTGCATCTGCCCATCGCCAATATGGCCCCTTGCCACTTGTCGCAGGGCGCGAGGCGTCTTTGTGGCGCGTCATGACGCTAGATTTCGTGCTCCAACCGTAGTAGACAGGTACCTGCTGCCAACTTTACCAGGCCGGCTCAAAGTTGGCTGTGAGATTTAGCCATCCCGCCGTCATGTCTTGGCCCCCAGATGCGAGCAACCGGGCAACATACTCGCAGGCACACGTCAGATTGGCACAGCAGAAGGTCACCATTCCGCGCTGCACACGCCTTCGCGCTGCGGGACTCTGTACCCTGCCAGCCTCCCTCGGGGTTCTCTAAGCGGCAAGTCCAGCGCCAATGGTCGTCAGCTATGGCCCACCGGCCTTGTCTCGTCTGTTTACATGGCCGCTCCCCTGTCTTCTCTCCTTCCCGGCCGGGATTCCGAAGGGAGCTCTGGGTGACTAGCCCATCGAGATGACGGAGTTTCTGTCCCGGTGTACAGCATCGCTCGCGAAGGTACCTCCTGTTGGGTGACTGGGACGGCTGTCCACGGGTACTCTGGTACTCTCGTATCTGGTATTATGACGACTGCGGGGTGGGAAGTACCATCTCTGGCCCAAGAGGCTAGGAGTCTCGACAATGCAGGTGGACATGCATGAGACTGCTTGCCTTTGAGACAAGCAAATGAGAGTGGGTGCCTTGTTCCCCAGGCTGTTCCTGCCGTTGATGGGCTTTCAGATTGAGATCAAGATGATGCAATGGAAGGAAGTCGCCCATGGCAAAGCAGGCTGGTGGCACTTCCTACCGTCCTGAAGCCAACGCTCGATGTTTATATAACTGGGCATCTTCCCCTCCCTCCTCCACGAGAATGCCATCATCCATCACACAACCTCAAACAACAGCCTGACTTTTGAAACCCTTCTCTACTCAATTCAAAACAATCGTCTCTTACTACAAACAACCCCCAACAACCAAACAAACAACCACCCAACATGTCTGGAATCATCAACAAGGTGAAGGACGCCCTCCACTCCGACAAGGCTCACGAGCAGCCCGAGGGAACACACGGCCCTCACTCCAGCCGCGCTGCCAACACCGCCGACCCCCGCATCGACTCCGACCGGGACGGACGTGCCAAGTAAGCCTCCTTGTCCTCCGTCATCCTAAAGAGTCAACAGCTAACATCCCTCACAGCCCAGCCACTGGCACCACCGGCACTCATGGTACTCATGGCACAACCGGCACTGGTGTTGGCTCAACTGGTGTCGGCTCTACTGGCCACACCGGAGGCATCGGCTCCACCGGCACCCACACCGGTACATCTGGTCTCGGCAGCACTGGCCACACCGGCACAACCGGTGGCAGCCATGTGACGGGCTACAATGACCCCACCGGCACTCACGGACCTCACGGCCGTGTCGGTAACGCTGTCGACCCCCGTGTCGACTCCGATGCTGACCACCGCGCTGCTGGCGTCGGCTCGACCGGCCACACCGGCGGTCTTGGTTCTACCGGCACACACGGCATTGGCTCTACCGGCACTCACACTACCGGAGGTATCGGCTCCACTGGTACTCACACCGGTGTTGGCTCAACTGGTCACACCGGAGGCATTGGGTCCACTGGCACCCACGCCGGTGTTGGCTCCACCGGCCACACCGGAGGCATCGGCTCCACTGGCACCCACGCCGGCGCCGGCACAACTGGCTACGATGACCCTGCCGGTACCCACGGCACCCACAGCTCCAAGGTTGCGAACGTCACCGACCCCCGTATCGACAGCGACCGCGACCACCGTGGTGCTCCCGGCGCTGCTGGCACATCCCACATCGGCTCTGGCCCTGGCCCGGCGGCCAACACTGCCGGCCCTCACAAGTCCGATGTCCTGAACAAGGCCGACCCAAGAGTCGACAGCGATCTTGACGGAAGCAAGACAGTCGGTGGCAACAAGACCTACCAGCAGTAAGTCTTCGTGAGTTCACACTTTCATAATGTCAGCCCAACTTGTAACCGGGCGGTAATGGATCATGTTGCTAACCATGTAAATAGGACTGGCAACTCTTCAGTCGCCCACAAGGACCCTACGGATGCTGCCCAAGTTCCTCCCTCGGTGCTCCGTGAGCATGTCGGCGATCCCGACATTGTGCACGACGACCACCATCACGGTCGGGAGGAGAGACACAAGTCTGTGTCTCACCAAGAGGCACACCCTGGCATCTAAGCTTGAGAAACGATACGACGGATTAGCGATTTGATTTTTTGGGATGGATGCGCCTGCACCATAGTGTTTATGCTCCTAATTAGTCTCCCTAATACCAATACCCATGTTTTTGCCTTGATATCTTGTTCTTAATATGGCCTAAGTGACATGTTGACATACTTGTTTTACCTTCGCTTAACTGAAATGTAACGCTGATGTCGTTCAGGCTTTGTCCACACGATCGATTAGAAACAAATCAATCGACACGCCATCCACAATTTAGCTTCGTTCAATAACGACAGTCGAGTTAGGATATGTGTCTCCCTGCATGCAGACATGGCATCGAGTCCGCCTTCGCATATTTCGCGTCAATGGGAATATCATCACGTTGGTACCCTTCGGGGTAGTCTCTTACATAGACTTTCGTGCTTCGGCTTAAACCCTTGAAGTGTGCTAGAAGAGACGAGCAATGCTTCCACGTCAGGAAAGTTGTATCTTTTCAGAAAAGGGTGATCATTTCAACGTGATAAAGAAGCGAGCGGGCGCCTCTCTGCATAGTCAAAAGGATGCGGCGCAAGTAAGGTTAAGCCTGATTGAACTCCTGCCCAGATATTTGTCCTTGTGCCTTTGCTTTTGGGTCGTCCAGACGTTGCATTTGCAAACTGCTTGAAAAGTCATTGCATTCTTCGTTTGGTACCCAAAATTCTTTTCGTATCTATTACGTCGCCCGGGCTCCTTCGTGACAATACGGTCACAACACTGTCGAAATTGCAATGGCAAAGCAACTGGTCATGAATTTCCAACAGACCGTTTTTCAAGATACAAAATCAGAGCTTGGACCTAATTCTTCTCTTTTCACTGGGCGACGAAAATGGAGCAGTAAGGCTGTATAGTGTGCCAGGAAAAGATGGTCAGAAATGTGCTTGAAAGGTTTTGTGGGTTATTAGGTTATCCTTTACTAACTAGATGAGAAGCTCTCAATTCGAGCACTTCAGAACTTCCGGTGCTTCGGCCATCACTCGTAAAGCCTGCCCTTAATCAGTGGTCTAACTTGAGGAGCGCGCTCGCCCCACGCCAACCATGCCGACAGATTTCCCTCCGGCAACATCACCAAGCCGGACCCTCATATCTCTCAGCAACTCCGCTCTTCTGTCGGTATCAAGCGAGCTTCCCGGGGTTGGCAAGCCCAGAGAACCGTTGTTGTATGTCAAGCCCATTAATGGATCAAAAACGTCCGGCCCTCTTGTCCGCAGCCCCGTGATCATCCCAATCGAGCCGATGATAGCTAGCGCTGTGGCCGAAATCACTAACACAGTCCACCAGGCGTAGTTTACTTTGTAGACGTTGTTGTCTCGCGTGACCGACGCCTCGGTAGAAGCGGCGACGAATGCAGCGGCGTCATTGATAATGCTGCTGACATATGCGCTGGCATGATCAATACCTCCGCCGGGGGTTACGTTGTATGCAGCAGCTGCTGCTTACAAACCATCTGCCGGGCTGTGAGGAGGTCCCCAATCTGCAGCCTCGACACTTGGCAAATCACCCGCAAAGCCATAATAGGAGTAGAGCAAGTGCATCGCCGTATTGAGCAGGAGGGTGGCCCTGCCGGACAACGTCTCTGGTTCTCTGTGTGCAAGGTCGGTGTAGAACCAGTCGTTCCCCCCTCCCAGCGTGTAGGCGTTTGCGCGATACACGGGGATCGTGGACGTCTTGTTCATGAAAAGCTCCAGCACGGTAGGGCTCCACACACTTTGTCCGTTGAACTGGTTCAGCATGTCAAGTCGAGGGACTTTGGGGTTGCCCCAAGAGTCTCTGGGTCCAGATTTGGTCTCGAAGTCTTGCATGAGCGCGGCGGCGAAAGAGGCCGTGATTGGAAACGGAAACTCGGTTCGGTAGGGCCCCATGTCGTAGCCTTCGAACAGCGTAGCGTACGTGTACAAGATTCCGAGAGGCCCTGTGTCCATATAATGAATACTGGTAGAACTGACTGACGTCTGATTTGTTCGGTACAGCATCCTCAACGAAGCCTGGCCTCCAGCTGGAGACATTGCCCAGAGCAACCCCACGAGAATCGTGGGAAGTGACAAGGCGCCGGCTGACCATTGGAGAAGAACCGCGTCGAAAACCGTCTTGGTGGGCAGGAACGCCCACAGCGTCTGCATAGGACAGCCCATTAGCATTTGCCCTCCACCCTTCTTCCCCGAGGAGTAGTGTACTAGTTTCTTCACCTACCGAGAATTTTATCCCTTTCTCGCTTTTGAACCTGCCGATGGCTTTAAGGGCTCGACCAACCAGTGCCGCGAAGACGATGGGGAATACTGTCGGTCCCAGTCTCGTGGCTCCCTCGACCAGCTCTCCACTTTTGTCGCCGATGCCTCTAACACTAACAGCGACAGCTCCTGCTGCGAGTGCAAGAAACAAGAGGGAGACAATGAGATGAATCGATTCGAGGAAAATTGAGAGAATTATCGATGTGCGTGTTTGCGTGAGTGGACGTGGCCCGTCTGGCCACCCAGGAGTCTTGGATCCCGAGGGCGGCTGCGGACTCAATGGGGGATCTTGGTTCGAAGCCACAGCATCCACAACCTGACCCTCTTCTGCATTGATATTACTGATCGCTCGCTGCTCGCTGACAGTTTAGCCTTGTATATCTGTCCGTTCGGGCAATAGCTGCTCGCGTACTCCATGCGATGTATCCGTCATTGTTGCTGATACAGCCCAGAATCAGCCGGGGCTCTAGACTGAATACAACTGTACTTTGGGGCGATGTCAATAGTGCTAGTGACAACAAAGGCCGAGTCTGTGGTGAGATCCGTCGAGATTTGCAATTCCAGGCCACCAGAGGACGAAAGGCGAGATATACTGATCATGCGGCTCATACAGTTTGGACACAGCCCCGGCTGAACAGAATGTGTTACGCGAACTTGTCCTCCGTAGCTTACACAGAATGCATCTAGACTGTTTCCCATGGAGTAAAGTTGTGGCTTTCTCGTGAAACTGTGTCGACCAATTATCTACCCATCTCACGCCTGTGATACCGGAAAGGCCATGGCAGTGCACCTGAGACCAGAAGCCATTTACGGACTCATTCGCAGCCCCCGATAAAGGCCATAGCCGTCATTGGTGACTTTCTGCATACTGTACACTGGTGGAAACTTAGCTAATGTACGTCTCCTAATTTCTCGGAATTGAGGTGTGACAAGCAGATGGCATCAAACTTATTCAAACAAGCGTTTTCTTCACGCCTCGCGTGACCATCACGATACGAGTCTGCGCACCTCGCTGTGGCCAAGTGAGAACCTTTAACATATCAGCGTGATTTATAGAGAAATCAACTGAACTGTATAAAAGTCCTCTAGGAGAGGTGCAACATTTTGTGCCAATTTGAGGGACTTAGCCTTGAGCCCGGGGACCTGTGAAGATATCAGGCCTATGTTCAGTGGCTGTCCACAACATTGCTGCCTGGCAATACGGAGACAACAGGTCATTTCTTGGGTTTGCATAAATTGTTCGAGATACATAATATCAATCTGATCACTTCATGAGACGAGTGGCCATGGTGACAAGTTTTATGGGACACGGGCTGTTTGCATGCCACAGTTCTTGCTCACTGACGATCTAAATGAGCCTGTCCATCATGATTCACTCACTTGTACCATAAGCATGAGCTTCAGCTTAGAACCGGTTGGCCGCAAGCAACCACTTTTTACACTCATTGTGCCGGCCAGGTATGAGACAGACTTTGAATTGCTACCAATAAGTTTGTCCCGTATGGATGAGCCGAGAGTCTCTCTAGAGTCTCGACTGGGAATATATGTCGGCCCTATCTCTGCTGGACGCGTCCAGCTGCTTGAAATGATCAAAATGATCACGTCCAATGCGGAAATCGGCAGCCACTGCAGCGCTCCATATGAGGTACGCTAGGATCGAGGACGAACGTGTCATTGTTAGGCTCGTCGTTTTCGATTATGGCAAGACTTGACAAAACCTGCTCCATATTGGCATCTTTACCGCATCTATGTCAGCGATAGATAAATAGTTTTGTGGTTAAATTGGCTAAGCGTGTTCAAATTCCATCGTCTATCGAGTTTTCATGGCTCTGTGGTACAACATGCATTGTCTGTCCTCGCGCACAGAGAAACAGTACACTGAGGGGAAAGCTGCGTGTCTGTAGATCTATGCGCGCTGTAACCGTAATGATGCCAAAAGATGGCAGGCTACAAAATGATCAACTTCGAGTATGACTGCTTCGTTCCCAGGAATTCTCGCTATTGCTCTTCTATCCAGGCCCTGGACTCTATTATCGCGTCTTGGGCAACGCTGCGTGCTGGCGTGGGCCAACTATGAATCTTGAAGCCATCCTAATTCCCCCTGGCCCTTCATACCTAAGCAGGACGCATAGCAAAGACGTTGTTCTATTGCTCGATATCGTCACAGGCAAATTCAATCGTAATAGTGTCCTTGCCACTGGAAGATCCAGGTGATTACTTCACGGTCCGGCGCTCTGTAACTACTGCTGAGCGTCATACTCATTCGTGACAATTAGCCAATGTAGAGGGCAACTTGAAAAATTGAAGCCCATTCTGTTGAATTTGATTCTTATTGCTGCACATAAATTGATAAATTGTGACTCTGGGGAACCTGCTAGCGCAAGGGTGCGTCTTCACATGATTGGCAAAGGTGCTACATTTACAGGGCCTTCGTCGACAACATGTCAAGCCATCTGGCGTCGCAGGCACAGCAACTCGGCCGCCAGCACAATCGGTCGTCGCGATAATGAGCTGACAACACATATCGGGGCATGTTTGCCCAAAGCTTAGCGCCACTGTCGCACTCCACAATGATGACCAGTCGAGCATGCAATTAGCCAGTACCAAAAGACACACTGTGTACACTGGAATAGACTTCGCATCGAGAGCGAGTTGGAGAGCAAAACAGCACATACCGACGTCGACGGGCTCGAAACGGTCGGTCGCGAGCAAGCTTCCGTGGGGTGGCAACCCTCGCTTATTTGCTTTGGGAAATAAGGTTCAGTAGGCCAGGCACCCCCGAGACCCCCGCGCAGATGTCGATCCCTCCTTCCCCTTGCGTGCGTGTGCGTCCCTGCGCCGCAGCGGAAGGGGCGGGAGCGAAAGAAAAGAACAAAAACACACACCTCTTCTTAGCTCGTGCGGGCGGGCATGGGGGGTCGGGCATGGGGGCATGGGGCCCTGGCTGCTGGCGGTGGCTGGACAAGTAGGGCCCGCGGTCGTCGGTAATTGCGTAGAACGCGTGTGTGTGCGTGTGTGTGTGTGTGTGTGTGTGTGTGTGTGTGTCTGTGCACGGGGCGGGGTGGATTTGATTCCCACCGGCAGAGGTTGCATGTCTTGTAACACGAGGGAGCGGAGATTAAACTTTGTCGTCCCTTGGGGAGGATGGATGGTACGAATTGCCTTTTCCTCCCTTAGTCTTATTGCATTGACTCGGGAATTGACATTGGAGGGATTTCGGCGCACGCATGCGCACGCCCCATCCTACCAGCCGTCCTGCCGTCGCAATCCCTGCTTGGGAGCTTGGAAGTCTAGACTCCGACGTTGCGGTGACTCACGGGACGCGACGGGATCGACAGCTGGGGGCATCCCCAGGTTTGGTCGTTGTACCTGGTGTACTGCACATGTTGCTGTCGTCCGATGATGGCCAGGCGAGGTCTCGAAGCGTGGCTGAAGGGTACTATTGTTTTGACGTGCTACGCAAATAGCACATCCCCGACGCAGATCATACCCTCGCTTATCTCGCGTCTCGCGAGGGCCAGCGGACCGGCGAACGACAGCACCTGGCTGCGGATTGCCATGTGCACGGAGACGCCTCAGGCCGCACCTGTTACAAACCACAGCAAACGGGGCGTATAAATCCCGCGTATCAGATCCTAAGACAAGATTTGTTGGGGGCGCATTTGGCGCACACTGTACGCGGCGTGGTGGTGTTTCCCGCCCCGGTCGAGGTGCGATACGAGGCAGTTGCTCGGCGCTTGGACTGACAACTGTCATAAGAAACTCAATTGGGAGCGGGCGTGGCAAGGTGGTTGTCTACCCCGAGCATCTTTGGAGCTTCCGTTGGGCTGTCGGCTTTGTTTCGACTTTTCTTCGGGGGGGAGAGCAAGGCAGCAGGTCAGCAGGGTCGAAATGCCCGAGTGGCTTTTCGGTATATAGTTTGAAGCCGAAGAGGTCGGCATTGCAAGACAGAGTGGTTGCCGGCTGGGCGTTGACAGGCGATCCCGCGAGGATGACTGTCAATATCGAGAGGCTCGCTTCCGTTCCCTGCTTCCCGCCTAGACTCCACAGCCACGTGGCCTTGGCAGCCAATTTCCTGGGTGGGTGTAACCCTTCGTGCTTTGAGCCAGCACTGCTTGAGCATGCCCCGGTAATGATCGTGTCTCACAAAAGCCAATATGCGGCCCCAGCTCGCAGGAAGCTCGAGGGCAGGGCCCCATGAGGCCGCCGTTGCACTGTGACGAGTGCTGCAAGGTTGGATGGTGAAAACGGGCGTGATCCACATGGCGGCAGTGTGTGGGATCTGCCGTCGCCAGATCAGGTGGAACGTCAGGGCTCAGGCCAAGCTGCAGAAAGATTCTTGTTGGTTTCCTGCTGATGTTGGTGGTGCTGGTAATAGGCCAAGAGGAAGCCAAGAGGAAGCCAAGAGGAAGCCTCGAGGCAGAGCGGGTAGGGCCGTTGACCGTTACGCTAGACCGTCCAGAGACGGGAGGGACAGCGGGAGCGGCGTCCCTTATCGTTATCGCAGCGGTTATCGCGCGGCAACAGGGCGGTGGCTGTGTGTGGCGCGACCTCGAGAGCTCCTGCCTGAGGTCTCCGCTCCGCCCTGCCCGGCTCACTGCACGCAACATGTCACCTGTCAACATTTGCTGTCCCGAGACCCCATGCAGCCCTGCCGCCCAGGCCTGACTTGACTTGCATAGCTCGCACGTCACGCCACGCCAGGCCAGAGACTGCTGTTGCTGCTCTGCACCTGCCCGCCAAGGACGGATGCGTCGCCAGTCGTCGACGGGACGCGGCTGGAGATACAGTGACGCAGTACAGGAGCAGCACAGGCATGGCCAGCCCTGAGCGCTGCTCGTCTCGGAAATAGCATCTTACGCAGCCCCCAATCAACTCGCCCTGTCCTCACCTCTCCCTATACCATCACCGCGTACTGCCGGGCAGCCAGGCCATTCGGAAGTCTTCAGGCCCCATTGCCACCGCGCCCCCTGTCTGGCCTCGCCGACCACTCAGCCTTCTTGATTGTCCTCGTGCCCAGCCGCCTGCATACCCAGAGTATCAACCCGGTGTCGACCCGGCCGCGCGCCCAGGGTCCAGCAGCACTCATGGCCTCATCGCCCTCTCCATTGTCGCCTGTTCCCGGCCAGCAATCAGCAGAGGCGCATGCGGGTGCGGGTGCGAGTGCGGGCATCCCGCAGACGCTCTGGAGCCTACGCGTGCCCCTTTACATCACGCGCAAGGCGGCTCCCAGCACCCCCTTCATCACCTCTGTGCCGCGCTTCAGCTACCTGGCCCAGCTCCTGCCGAGATTGTCGGCCTTCTTTGGCACCCCCTGCAGCAGTTTCCACCACGAGGAGGTCCAGATGCGGAACCTGACCGTCGGCCTGCTTGTCGATCTCTACCAGCCTCAGCTGCCGTGGAAGCTGCAGGTCGGAGACGGTGACGAATGGGATATTGGGGACACGTTTCTCAACGGCGTCAAGGAGGTGAGTGCCACAGTTGCCGCCGCCCGCCCTCCCACAAGGGCGATGGGTCATGGATCATGGCCAGACCAGGCACTTCCTGGCCAGGTCCAAGTCCCATCCAGGGGTGTCGACGGATTGGGGCGGCCGAGGCTGACCAAATGACTGGGCTGCTCTCCCAAACAGGCAGACTTCGTGCGCAACGGCAACGCAAAGCAGATCATGAGCCTCTCAAAGGAGCACACCACCGCCCTTTGGAACGCGGTCCAGGACAGTACGTGTCATGCTCTCTGACCTCCCCCACCCTTCCTCATTTCATCCGTCCTCGTCCTCGAGAGAAGTATCCACACAGTTGCAGCGCTCTTGCCGCTTTTCGTCCATCTGCTCCGGCGCTCAGATCTCCCCTTACCCACTCCACCTCGCTTAGGGCGGTCCAGCATCATAGCATCATGCACGTCACCGCCGTCAAGCCGACTGACAGGTGGCCTGCCCTGCTCCTTTCATCTCTGAGACGGTGGGGGGTTCTGCGGGGCCCCGTCACGCCTGTCAAAGTCCTGCACGCCATCCCGGATCCGCAGCTATCTGCGCACGGCAGAATGGAATCTGCTGGGCTTTGACCCTGCTAACTGCTCGCTTAGACGACTACGCCTCCTTCTCAAAGGTCAACTCGCAGCTCTTGAACCCGCCGACACCGCTCAAACACGTCCCAATTCGCATCTACATCCCTTCCTCACCGCCAGACCCCTCCACCAGCGGGGCGGCGTCCGCGGCGCCTGGCAGCTTCAGGGTGATGCAGTCGCTCGTGCCCCTTCGGTCGGCAAATCGTGAGTGACACCTGTCCCGCGCCCATCATTTGCCTCCCCCCACCCCTTCGCCTTCACCTGCCTCCTCTGCCCTGCCATACCTTCCTCCCCTTTTGCCCCCCCCCCCAATATCATGTTTCGTTTCACGCTTGACAACTCACCTCTCTGGCCCCCACCTCTCCAGGTAGCCCACAGACCCTCGGCCCCGTGCTGCGCGGCCTGCTGCCGTCCCTGTTCCCCAGCAGCCGCGACCCCGTGCTGGCCAACGTTGTACTGCACGGCGCGCCGGTCCCCTTCTCCGCGCCCCTGGAGGATCTGATGCGCGAGGCGGCCTACCCGGACGGGTGGCTTTGTCTGATCATCACGTTGCTGTGAGCAAAAGAAACGGTGACATTTACATCCAGCGCCCCGTCCGTCCGCGGAGCGAGCTGGGCCGTGTGTTGGGTTTTGGAGGTTTGAGGTATGATCGGGCTGGGTTTCAGACAACTTTATTCATAGGGTAGAGATAGGCAAGGAGTTATTACCTCCCCGCCATGGGGCATTTCCTGCCAGGCCTCGAAGTTGGTGGGATTTGATCAATACGAACAAAGGGGGGCCGGCAGGGCCCTTCCCCTTTGCAACGCTAACGTCCATCGCGCAGGAGCAAAAAAGGACAGGGAGGACCAGGACCTGGGGGGCAACATTATTATCCAATTACGGACCTCGAGTTCTAAATCTGGGGTTGTTTGTGTGCGCGTCATGGTGCCCCCAGCGCGTCACTTACACTGACCGCCCGCTCGTTCGTTCTGACTTGTTTGCGACGAGATCTCTGTTGTTTCCCAAACTTCTAGGTCTCCTGTCAACAGGCCCCATTGCACACATACTGCTATATCAACACACATGCGCACGATCCCCCTCCCCCCTTTCACTCCCACTTGTTAAAAGGCACAAGCGACCCAAGGCTAGATGATGCGGGAGAGCGCGCGCAAAAAATGACATGTAGAGGTTAAATGTAAACCAAGTGACCAACAGGAAAACGTGTCCGGACATATGAGTGGTATCTCCTCCCATCCCACCCTCTCTTTTCAATGATGATGATGGAACAGGGAACATGATGCGATCCATGGGGAAAAAACAAGAAATAAAGAGAAAAATGTCCAAAAACCGTACAGACCAGACCATACCAGACTGCCCGCCAAATGTTTTGTTTTCGCTATGCAAACCGTGCCAGTTTCCTCCTCTCCCACCATGTAGAACCCCCAAAGTACCAGTTGTTGATTCCCGTCTCCTCCCCATTTGTCCCGTTGGGTATTATTAAACGAAGCCAGAAAAGCCCGATGACTGTTTGTTGTGCGAGTGTGACGACGTTGCTGCTCAGACTGGGTGCTTCTTCCCCTGGGCGCGAACCCCGAAAGACTTTTGTCGATATTCTACCTTTCGTTCCATTCCGTTCCGTTTCCTATGCTGTTGTTCCTGATAATTACCCCTCTTTCCTCATCTCCTTTGAAGCCGTTGAATCTCTGCCAACAAGTAATGTTTTATCGTAACTTGAATAACGATTCAATGAGCATTATACACACAGGCTGGTTGCCCGACCCCGAGTAACAGGGATATAGAGTCGCGGGTCGCCAGTGTGCTTCATTGTCCTCCTTTTCCCTCGGTTGGGTCGGGTCTCTCGCTCTCCCCGAGCCGTTTCGCCAGAGGGCAAGCTCTCACCATCTTCGATGTGCCGAGTTGGCTCTGCGTGCGAACACAGCGTCCTAATCGTGGAACAAAGGAAATTTCGCCTTCCGAGTGGTGGCATGCTGCCTGGAGCCAAACACAATTCCCATCCCTAGAATTCCATCGGAGTTGAGTGACCCTGGGTCAGATCACCTGGCGTAATCGGGCTGGGGCCAGCTCCCGAGTGAGGTGTTGGCCCGCTGGACGTGTACGACGGCATTGCGCGGTTGTCGTAAGTTCCGGGGGGCATGAGGTTCCTGCTTGCGCTCAGCTGCTCCTGGGAGGGCAATCCCTCCTCCAAGCCTTGGAGGACCCGAAGGTCTACAGCGAGACTGCTAGTGTCCTGGGCCACAATCTCAAAGAACTCAATCGTTTTCCTCAAAAGTTGTCGTAGCAGTTTTTCGTCGACAAACTCTCCGAGCAGCGGGTCATGGTAGGCAGCAGCGAGCGTGATCAGGTTGCCCCATTGCCTTTAGCCAAGTCAGCATCAAGAGACAAGTTGACATGAGTGTTGGGGATTGGGTACATACGCATGTGCCGTTCCAAAAACATTGGTGATAATGAAGCGTTTGTCCTGCAGGCCGTGGAAAGCCATAGTACTCTTGATGACGGCATCAATCCCCTTTCTTGCGTTCTCGAAAACTATAGGGTCAATGTCACTCGGACTCCTTGCGTCGCTTCTCACAGTAGCCCATCCGCCCGGGTCTTCATGTGGAATGGCTCGCTCCGAGTCTTCCGAAAAGGCATTGTTGCGCTTGTGTGAAAAGTCGAGCACGGTCTTGATCGACGGACGGTAGGTGATGACGTTGGCCCCCCAAAACTTGGCCCGGATGCGTGCGGACAGGATGTCTCTGGCCGGCGCGTCGCTCCTTTCAAACCTGTACATTCCGAGCCATACATGGCTTCGGTTTACCAGGTCTTCTTCGATCTCGGCCAGGATGGCCCTCTGTTGCGCAGCATCAGGCTTCTTGTTGGGATCATAGAGTGAACCGGAGATTCTGTTCAGCCGTTTCCGCAAGTAGAGCTGTGCGGCGTAGCTGAATGCAACGGCATCTGAGAAGCCCAGCTGGTCTTGCATTACCGCTAGGTTCGGGTACGGTAGTAAATCCTCGTATTGGAGAATCCCAGAGGGAATCAGGTTCAACTCAGCGAGAATGTCACTGCAGCAGTCAGAGGAATGGCTCGATACAACGGGGACCAGAGTGGACCACTTACCTCTCCAACTGACAACACGACCAGAACGCGATGAGAAGCTTGGTGTCTACAGCATTGTTCTTTTCTGGTTCGGAGCCCTCCTGTGGTTTAGGAAGAACTTCCTGGTCTTCCGAGCCCCATCCAGCCTCCCGTTTCAATCGGTCCATGGACCTGCGATTGTCAGCGGGTATTCTATACAGGAAAAAATGTCATTACTCACGGCTGAAGCTTGTCAATGATTGCCGAACATGCAAATCTGATGTGACGGAAGCTAGGTATCACGCGTCCGAGCTGTCCATAATAGAGACAGGCAAGAATGTGGGCTTGGATGTAGTTCAGCTTGTAACTGCCGAAGTGGTTGCCCAGGATATCAGTCGCATATGCGAAGTACTCGAGACCCGGTATGATTTCATAGTTCTTCTTCGGTGGCGCAGGGGACGCGGCACTGGTTGGTGCTTGCACCCCGGAAGCTTGCATCGACGAGCGTCGGCTGGCACCTGGGCGCTCCTGGTCCTTCGGTGATGGCAAGCCAGCTTGCCCAGGAGACTGAGAGAGAGCACTGGATGGCGGGGAGCCATGATTTGGTGAGGTTATATGGCCATTTCGGACAAGCGGGGACCCTGAATTTGGCATCTCTTTCTCTGGAGGGTCTGGTAGCTTTCGGTCCCTCCACATGCAAATCTTTCCCAGTGCGAGAACGAGCAGGACCAACGCATGTTGGACAGAGCGTTGGGGCTTCGGCCTCTTCGGCGCCGGTCCGGGTTCCACACCGTTAGGGATGGGCGAACGTTTGCGCTTCTTCTCGTGTTCGAATGACGGTTGAGCCGGCCTTTCTTGGTGATTAGTGAACGCGGCAACCCTGCTGTGTTTTTTGGTACCACTTGGGTTATTGGACACTTCCTCCAGGAATGTGTAAACCATGGCGTCTAGGTCTCCTGGGGGGATCAAGGGGTGCATGTTCTGTATGTAGTTCTTGTAGTGCTCCACATAACTGTGAACCTTCACGGCATCGAAATCCAGAACGCCTTCCGAACGATTCTGGGCTCGCAAGTCGGCTGGGTAGCCACCGGGTGGGGACAGACCCCCAATCGGGCCCCAGTCGGTACCACCCGACGGGGATGGGTGATCGCCAACCGAGGCATCGTCTGGTATGTCCATATGATCGTATGTGGAATCGCGGTCTACTGCACGCGAGGTTGACCCTTCACCGCGTCCGAAAAGAGGTAGTTCGCCGCGGTCTTCCTCGTATCGCTGCGGGTAGATCTCGATGTATTTGATGTGCTCGCGATCCAGCAGCGGCTTCACAAGCTTTCTGACAGCGGGCCACATGAGAAGTCGCCCCGCCGGAGTCGTGTGGTTGTGAGGGAATGGTGGTGGCGCCGGCTGAACTGGGTTTCCGGGTGGTTCCTCGTTTCCCTCTTCGTCCTCCAACAGTCGCATCCTTTTGGCTGCAGAATGTGGGTCCGGCGCGCCGTTCGCTATATCGTCACCGGGCGAGGAAGAAGGAGTTTCGTCAACCTCCGCAATCGGTTGCGGAGTTACTGCTCTCGGCTCCTCTTTCACGTAGTCATCCAGCTCTGGTGGCTCCTGCATGCTATGAGAAGATCCTGTTCGGATCTCGCCCCTGAGCTCCCGGATTTCGGATCTCACTTCGCCCAGACCAGCAGTAAACTTCTCGTCGTACGACTGCAGCATGCTCTTCATGGCATCCAGTATGTCTTGCGTTGCCTTGTCTTGCCTACAGGGTTGCGGGTCAGAGAAAACAGGGAACTTCCCCACAAAGTTAGACTACACCACTCACTGCTTGGGTGCTGGATCGCGATATTGACAGTTTATGTTCTTGTCAGTACAGTTTTTGCAGGGCTTGTTCTCGTCGCATTTTGCCTTGAGCTGTCGGCAGCTCTCACATGCCTGGAAATTTGTAAGTGGGCCGTTCACCTCGCCTGCCTGGTAGTTGTCGAGAACGTACCTGCGATGCTCTCTGAGACTTCCGTTTGCTCGCGGCTGTGTATGCAGTGATGGGATAGGGACCGTCCGGTCCCATCGGCGGGGGGTACATTGGACTCTGGTCATACGGGGTAGGTGGTGGCTGAGGATGAGGCGGCAACGGTGTGGGAGGCGGGGGAGGGTAGTTCTGATGCCGGTACATCTGCCCCGGACCGTTGTCGTAACTCATGTGCCTCCTCTCCTCCATATGGCCCGGAGGATGAGGGCCAACATGCGGAGGGGGAGGCGGGAGAGACTGCTCGGGGCCGTTGCCGGTGGAGTTGGGCCTGCGGAGCTGGGGCAGCGTGACGTCGTCGGACTCTCTCTTCACCATAGACTCTCGGTTCGCAGGTTGATATCCAGGGGGCGGGTACTGTTGATGCGCTGGAGAGGGAGGGGGCTGGTGATGGGTGTCCTGGATGTGAGAGTACCTCTCTGGCTCATGTTGTCGGCGGTCATCAAAGTGCTGCGGTGGTGGCGGCTGCTGATGAGGCGCGTGCAGTTCTTGAGGACGGTGAGGGAAGGTATGGGGAGGGTGAGAGAGATGCGGTGAGGGCGAGTACTGAGAAGAGGTAGGAGGAGGAAGAGATGGTGGGTGTGGATGGTGGGCAGCAGATAAAGGTGGCCCGGGATGCGGCAGCGAGACACCATGATGTGATGGCCCCGCTGGCCACGAGGGAGGACCAGTCGAGAGGCGCGGCCGCTTGCTTTCATGCCCTTGGTCCATGCTTCAAGGAGGTAAGGTATATGTGAAGCAGGTACATGAATACCTGGACCCCGGAAAAAAGAGATGAAATTTGAGAACGAGTTAGGGCACCGTGTCTGGGGGGGGGGGGGCGGAGAGCAGCTTCAGCACAGAGCAAGCCTCAGAGCAAAAGGAGCACAGCCAACAGCAACGGCGCAAAGTCAGGCAGCAAGCGCAGCCGCGGAGGCCATGGGGTGGATGCCCGTGTGCGACTCTACGGGCAGATCGCCCAGGACTCTTCTTTTGGCAGCACTGGTAGGTACAAGGAGCGAGGGCGGAGAGGGCAAGTCTCGAAGGGTTGACGACAAGGAAATCTGGGCCTGAGACCTGAGACTTAGAAGCCGGGGCCGGGACCGGGAGCTGGGAGGAGCTGGGAGGTGGAAGCTGAGGAGCTGGACGTGCTGCGCCTGAGAGCGAGAGCCAGAGCCAGAGCCAGAGCCAGAGCCAGAGCTTGGTGATGGTGAGCCGGGATCAGACCGGACAAGGGTAGAGAGATTCGAGAAGGCCAAGGTCCTGGTTGGTAAGAGGTACGTATCCGAGGCGGGCGCGGCAGTACGTAGTAGTACTGTGAGAGAAACTGGCCCTGGACCGTACGGGTTGGCGATGGAGGAATGTGCGCAGGGCCTCGGGGGCGTCGAGCGATCAAGGCACAGTTACTGTATGATCGATCGAGTCCGGGGTTGGGATGGATCGTGGAGCTTGCAGTCTTATTGGCCTGGACAAAGCGATATTTGACCAGCAGATGCCGAGATATGAGAAGTGCTTGTGCTTGCCTGCTTGCTGCTGTTACGGCAGCAGGCTGGGTCTGGGTAGAAACGGCCCAGGTAAGGCAGGGTGAGGCAGGCCTGACTGTGGGCTTCCGGGAGGTACGGATGGACAGGCCAGGTCAGGGTGCAAATAAGCGCACGGCGGATGGAGGGCGAGCTTGCGAGGCCTGAGGGTGACCCTGACTGGTACGGGGACAGGATCAGGATCTCGTCAAAACGTGGTCGTTGGCGCGTGTGCGAAAAGCCCGGCAGCTTGTAATGATTGTGCGTCAGAGGTCCAGGCCGGCACAAGGTTTAGGTTTGAAAGAGGCAGACAGTGAGTGGTATGTGGTAGTGTAGCTGGACTGGGCATAGGCTTGAGCCTGCATGCGTGCAAGGTAAGGTAAGGTAAGCTTGAGGCGCGAGGTAGTGCTGCGTATCGAACCGTAGCGTCGTCCAGAGTCGTCGCGCGCGGGGGGCAGGATAAGCACGAGATTGATCGACGGTTGGGCAGCGACGAGCCAGAGACAGGAACAGTCCCAGATCCTGCTTGGCCAACAGGGTACGAGGCACTGACTTGCTGCGTCTGCTTGCTTGGGCCGACTGATGCAAGAAGTAGCAGTGGCAGTAGCAGCGGTAGCAGTAGCAGTGGGAGGCGGGCAAGTGGGCAGTGGCAGCAGCGGGCAGGGACGGCGACGGTGCCGGTGACGGCGACGGTGGCACTTTTGGACAGACCACTTCCCAAACGCCCAGGAACTGACTGGATCAGGAACAGGAACAGGAGCTGGAAACCGAAAACTGGGCTGGGCTGGGCTGGACGGGACAGGACAGGACAAGCCACAGCACGCGCCAGGTTTGACCGGTCAAGTACGCACTGGCCGAGGAACAAACGAGCTAGGGGTTTGGCAGGTCTGTGGATTTGAGAGAGGTGGATCCTGGCGAGATGGAGGAAGGAAATGCCGAAATCGAGGGCCAAGCGAAAACTCAGAAAAAGAGTCGAGCGTCCGGATGGGAGAGGGGACGTCGACAACGAGCTTCGTCCGTCAGTCTCCGCCTGTATGTCTCTGTCTGTGTCTGTCTAGCTGTCTGCTTGCCTGCCTGCCAATAGACTCGACTGGGCTGGCGACTGGGCTGGCGACAGGGCGGGACGAGGGGTGAGGGAGAGAGGTGGGAGGGAAGGGGGGAAAAAAGCCAGAGTGCACGAACGTTTCGCGACGCGACCGGGCAGTGCGATGCGATGCGATACGTACGATGCAATGCAATGCGATTTGATGGCAGAGGACCAGAGAATTGACTCGGCTCGACTCGACTCGAGCGACAGGCCAGGGCGGGACGGTCAGGGAGAGAGAGGCTGCCCGCTTTACTTCTCCAATCAGTCCGTCAATCAGTCAATCATCAATCGTCAACCATCAACCGACGTCCAGCCCCAGCTCCAGGCCCAGCTCAAAAAAGCATCGACGGTACCTGCCCGGCGTGTGATACTGTGCCGTGCCCTGCGGTATTGCGACGGTACTGGACGGTAGAGTACGTACCTGACCGGCTGGGATGCTCTCGACCGTGTGCGTGTAACGCATATGACATGACAACGGAGGATCGCTGAGGCACAGGCACAGGCACAGGCACAGGCACAGACTCGCAGAGAGAGAGAGAGAGAGGCAGGAGGGCGCGCAGTGAGCCCACCACAGGAGGAAAGCGAGGGGCCCCACCGTGACAAAATTTGCACTAGCAATGCACGCAGCGCGCCAGGTACCTCTGACAAGGTTGGAGCACGGGCAGGGGCCCCACGGGCCCAGGGAGCAGGGGTTGGCCTGCCGGAACGGAGTCAAAACGGTGAAGCTTGTGGAGGCAGCCATGACGAAGCACGAAAGCTAGCCAACCAGTCGCTCACTCGTTCACTCAGTCACTCACTCAATCACTCGCCATCAGCCAGTGCCTGCTCTTGCTGAGGGGGAAAAAAAAAAGGTGCTTGCTCGCGCTTGGTCCATCACCTCCCACCACCCACCCACCCCTACTCACCCCATGTCGGGATTGGGAGGCACAACCGTGCATGGCAGAATTTGCAGCATTGATTCCGACAGTGGGGATGATACGCGCCCTCTGTCTTGAGATTGCCCCGGCAGAGCCTTTAGGGCCTGGACTGCGGCGCCCTGATCGGATGCTTCTTCTTGGACGGCTGATGCCCTCCTGCACGGCATAGGTAGTCTGCCTGCGCTTGCGACTGCTGTGCCGTGCGACACAGCAAGATAGCTCACGGTATGCTAGCACTGCACAGCAAGCTCTGAGCAAGATAGGATGGGATAGTCAGCCTACTGACTGGTCTTTGCGGGGTCGTGGGACAGGGCGGTGAAAGGCAATGGTCGCTTCGGCTGCGCAGCATGCATGTGCGTGCAGCAGCGCGGTGCAGGTGTGTGGTGCATGCTTCCTGGAATGGGGTGTGCTGTCCCACTTGACTGTCTCGCCCATGGAGCCCACATCCACACCACTACACCACCACGACGTCTCGCCTTATTGCATAAAGCTACATCCGCGGCCCTGATCCCTGGCCCTGGTGCTCATGTGGTGTTTCCGTGGATGCGAGGAGTGCTGTCCACACGATTACCACCCAGCCAGCCGCTGCGACTCCAAATAGCGGAGGAGGCGAGCTCATTTCGTAGTCAAAAGGCTAACTTGCCAACAGCAATGGCGAAAACTTTTGAAGGGGGTACGGCCCGTGTTGTATCCCCGGGCTTGACACGCCACGGCTTCTGCTGTTCTAAGAAAAGACGAAACAGATCTAGCGCAGCCAGTCCGTCTGGAATTTTCTACGAGTGGCAATGGATAGGCGGACCGGCATGAGGCAAAAACGTGGCCGACGCTGCCCCAGAAAATGCAGGTCGATGGTGGCATCTAACAAGCGGACAGACCCCGTCCCAGCACTATGTATGGACAGGCCGGTGGGCGCCTCCCTTTTTTCCTTTTTTTTTTGCTTCCCTATTCACCCTACCCAGTGTCAAGGGCTGGGACGGATCGCGCGGAGCTTGCTGCTGGAAGGAAGAGCCCTGAACATTGCTAAAGCTCATCTGTGTGACGTCTCCGTAGAAGGATGATCCTGACCAAAGAACGGGTCAAGAGCGTCAGGACAGCCCGGCCGGTGGCACCGAGGCATCCAGAGAGGCTGTGAGTAAACAAGGGAGAAGTGGGAAAAGAACACTCCGGCGTCGTCCAGCATTGCCGCAGGGCGTGGTGGACCTCGTGGCGTGAAAGGGGTGCTGTTCTTGCTCATTACAGCTTGCAGGCAGGCATGGGGCATGGTGCCTGGCCATGCAAAAAAACACAGCACAGCAGAGCACAGTCCAGTCCGCATCTTGCTGAGCAGCTGGGGTGGTCAACCCATTCCCGCTTGCAATGGATCACGGTTTAGCTGCATGGCCCTGCGCTTGTACCGTGCTGTGACTGTAGTACGGGGGTTGCGCCGTAGACGAGCAGCTGTCACTTCTCACCCCGGGGCGATCTTGACGTATCAGATCACATCTCCGATTGAGGCCGGCTGGCTGGACTGCTGACGGGCGCCCGTTGAAACGCAGAATTGGGGCTGGCGAAAGCGCACAGAGCGAGCCAGACTCGCCCGCCCTGTCCGTCTCTTTCTCCACGCAAATCTCAAACAAGAGACTGGACAAGCGGCGGAGCGGGCACTGACGGCCCAGAGGGGCCCAGAGGGGAAGGTGAATCACGTCCTGCGAGGGCCCCTTGGTGCCATTCCCGACAGGCGTCCTGGACAATGAGCTGATTTTGACCTCATCGCGACGGAGGCGGCGGCGGCGGCCCTAGCCAACCCTGCCGGTGAACCTTGCAGATGACCGCAACGGTGAGGTGTCACTGATCGCTTTGGTCGCCTGGCATGTCAGATCCGGGCAGGGGTATACTGAGGCGTTGACAGCTTCAGCTGAGATGTCAAGGGCTGTGGTGGATTCTGTGCCTGTCTGGACCGCCTCGTGTGCGTGCGTATACGTGTGATGAGGCTGGCGGCGCGCTCGCGTGGTGACATTATGACCTAGGTAGCACCGCGCCCATATGGCCATCACAGCTGTGGCCTAGCCTAGACCAGCCCTCGCATGTGTGAGTTGCCGCTGGCTTAGTGCCCCAGTCACTCAGTTTTGTCCTCGAGAGGACGATACCCAGGTCGGCTTGGGGTTGGAGAGACGAGGCGCGGCCCGCTGTCCGAAGATGCAATGCAGGCACAAGGACAAAGTCGCCGTCAGGAATAACTTCGGGGGATACCAGGCGGCGACGTAGTTACCAAGGAAGGTAGGCAGGCAGTAGGTGCTGCGCCGGCAAGCCCTGTGAGCCAGGCAACTTCTGTTCTGGACCACTCGTAGGCTGTTTCAATTGGCAAATCGCCTCTGTTTCTCAGCCCTTCATTGATGGTCATTCTCGCCTGGTTCGACAAGGGCTCGCCCTGAAAGTGGGGATGGCGTTGAAAATCTCGTCACAGTGCAGACGTCAAGATCACGGCTTTTCATTCCGCACGCTGCAACCTCGCCAGTCTTGCATTCTTGCAGTCGTGCCGTCTTGCCAGCGCTCTCAAAGATGCTTCGGTAGACTGCCACCCGTACGTTTCATCGACCGCGACAACGACCACCCACCGCCCAGCAGCAGCAGCAGCAGCAAGAACAACAAAGTTGGATCGAGACAACGAACGATCCGATGCTGGCGTCCCAGCGACCCAGCGGGCCCCCCGTGACCACGGCCTCATGCTCGTCAACGAAGCACTGACCGCCACTTACCCTGGTTCTCGGTCAAACCTTCGAACCTGATTCTCTTCCTGGCCTGGCGAAGATCGGGGTGGCCTGCGCATAGTGCCCTGCGTGCGAGCCCGTCAAGTGGGCCGGTCATGACCTCGAAGCGAAATCACGGTTTGGCTTTTGGGGAGGGCGGGGGCCTGGGCACCGCTTGTTCGTTGCGAAAGGGAAAAAAAGTCCCGAACCCTTCGAAAGAGCGGTCCGAACGCCCAGGCTTCCTTTTTTTTTTTGCCCCTCCAATTTTTCCTGGCTCCTCTCGTCGTATCCCCTGCAACTCCCCACGCCGGAGCAAGCGAATATTGGAAGCGGGCAGGGGTTACTCAAGCCCAGAGATCACAATAACAACCGACGGCATGCCGATCAGCCAGCCTGCCCAGCCTGCCCGCTACCCACCCATCCAACCAGCAATACGTGTAGACAACTCAGAGGAGCAAATATCTTGTAACCGACCGACTGACAAGCGGGCGCTTTCCCTTTCTCGGCAGTCCATTGTCGAGGACAGACCGCTTCTCAGGTCCCGACAACTGTTCCAAGGAACACCGTAGGGCGCAAATACCCACCGGCGGGCCGCGTGCTTCTGTGGACTGGCATCTTTATTATTTGCTGCGTCGAGAACCACCGTGAAGGCTCGGCAAGGTCAGCAAGTCAGTGACGGCTTTGAGGTTAGCCAACTTCGCCGGCCCCTGGTGTCTTGGTCGGTGATCCGGCAAGGTTTGCTTCTGCCGTGGCTCTCGCCACCATCGACGAGGTCGCTCTCAATCAGAGGCTACACTATTGGCTTCATTTTCTTCTGGTTGATGTGGCCTGCCTCGTGGCCGGGCCAACTAGCCCAGCAAGTTACATGCGACACAGTATCTTTTGAGGGGAGACCTCGGGGGCGACCTTGCTTGTCGAGCTTCGAACGGTGGGAATACGGTAGGGATGGTTCGCACCATTGATGTCTGTGGGGCCCCCTCCCTCGTGATGGATTGATTGACGCAAAGCCCCCACCCTTAGAAGCATTATGTTTCTTTTCTGGAAGCTTGCGAAACATCGAAGCCAAATTCGGCCGTGGGGCCTTGGTCCGGGGGGCCTGCCCAGCCAGCCAGTCTGCCCGCGAGTCCGTTCGTCCATCGCGATGACTCTTGGTGATGACGAACCATGCTGGCGCAGATGAAAGAAAAGTTTTCCTCCCAGAAGCATCCTGAGTCGCTCCATCTCAGCCCGAGGTGCGGAGCACCTCATTCACGAGCAAGTATGGCTCACGAACCACGGCTACACCGGCACAACCGGGCGGATCGAAGTCAAAGGTGGAGCTACCTGACCTGGCCTCACCGACCCCGTGTGCCTGCTCACCTGATGAGAGCTGCAGCATCGTCATTGGTGTGACTGGTCGACTCTGTCCCGTGGCAGCCTCGGTCCTCGACATCCTAAATTTATTAAACTTTTGACGCAAGAGCACAACCAATTGTCGCGACTTTTGGCTCTGTTTGGTCACAGATCCTGGACGGCCACATCATAGCTGGTAGACTAATTCGGTAGGTGGTTGACATTGGCTGGCAGACTGCAAAATAAGCCGACCGTACCTCAGTACCAGAAAACGTACCTTGCGGTTCTTCCATTTATTTATCCACCACAACCTTAAAATGTATCTAATATTTTTATATCACCAGAGTTAGACGCTAATTCTAAACATTTCAGCTCTATTAGAACTGAGCACATACTACTTGGTTGTTAAGCAATTCGCTATAATGTGAAGGGTTTTGGTGGGATACGGGGTCCCGGTCGGTTTGTTTTGCAGCCTGCCAGATTGGTTGCCTGTGTCTGCCTGTTCGTGTGTGGTATGCAACGCTTTGGGCATTCCAGTCATTTTAGAGTCGGGTCTAGCAGTCGGAGGAGCACCGCTAATTGAGTTGGGACGGCGACGGCGGGCGGGACAGGCAGTGGAAAGTGGGGGAAGAAGGCTGGGGGTTTGATGGATTGTATTGGCAATGCAGTGGTTGCCTCTCGTACTGCAGATCCCAGTGTGTACAATCAATCATACGCAATGGGTGACCCAAGCAGCACTATTGGTGTGTACCGTATCTGCGCATCCAAGGAAATGGATGAGATGGTTGTGGTTTTGGGAGTAACCACAGGTCCGGATAATTGCATCGACAATCCTCGAGCTCACATTCTTGGTGCCCCTGTGCGTTTCGAGCAGTCAAGACACGAAGGCGCATGTGGTCCAAAAAAGCCCCCAGTCTCTGACGACGGGCTGCGGGTGTTGGCTCTGCTGCGGCGCGATCTTGCTATCATCTGCAGCTGAAGTTCGATTCATCGATTCTTCATGCGCCTCGAATGACCCGATGGTCGTGTCTCTTGCATCTGCCCACAGTCACTCAAGTCTCCGCTTTGTGACATATCAAGTGCAGCCTCGCATCTTAATCTCTTCGCAACAATCACCCTGACAGGCAGGCCTTTTCGCCTATCTTGCTCAGATATGAGGCTCCATCTCGCGTACGCGATGGTATGCTGGGCCCATGTGCGTAGGCGTGCGAACCTAGGTACTGCTCGAGAATCGTAAGATAACCAGGAACTGATTCAGCCACGAACTCATTAGGGCGGTGGGTGCACATTCCTAATATGTAACCGATGGTAACACTGATGACATGCATAGGCGTGGTCACAGAACTAACCGTTTGTGAGGCACCACAACGGCGGGGTGCGGGAGCGGAGAAAACTCCTACAATCCAGGCTTTTTCCGGCACTGGTCACCGCAGCTGCATATGCAATACCACTCGAGGTATCGTCGCAAACCGGCTGCTGGAGGTCGTTCCTGTCGAGTCTTCTGGTAGGCATTGTAGCACCCGCAAGACGACAGGCAGCCAGCCATGCAATCTCAAGACACGGAATGTGTGGCCTGACTTCAGATATCCCGGGAGCGTAGGATGCGATGGCTCTGTCAAATCCCCGGGACGATGGCTCTGTCAAATCCCCGGACGATGGCTCTGTCAAACGATGGCTCTGTCAAATCCCCGGGACGATGGCTCTGTCAAATCCCCGGACGATGGCTGTCAGGATCCCACGCTGACTGAAGCTTCCGTCCTGGGCCTCACAAATAGGCACCGGCTCCGACATCGCCCCATCCAATCTAGCTCCAGTCTACCCCAGCTTTGGCTGTGCGGCTCTCGGAAAGCTGGAGGGCGTGTTTCAGCTCGCGCCATCAGCAAGTGCAGGCCGGCGCCGTGGGATTTGGGATTGAGCACGCTCAAGAACAAGCCAGGAGGCCACGAGGTGCCTAGGGGCTCGAGCTTGCGGCGCGGCCCTCCCAATCGGTGACCGTTATGCGGTTTAGGACGGCTGGTTAGTGGGAGCTATTGCTGGACCAAAACGTCAACCAAACAGCTGGGCGAAACGAAGAGCCGCTCTCTGAAGCCACGGCTGACTGCGGTATCTTGGCGTACCGTGAGGCTGGCACTCGACGCTGAGTGGTTTGGCTCGGATGGCTGTCTGCTCTATCCTTTTCTTTTCATATCGTCTTGAAACTATCCATCAATGTCCTCAATCTCGTTAACGGCTCAGATCCTGCACCTCTTTGCGACCCGCACGGCATCGTTGGACCCCTTTGGACCCCTATTCGTTGGGCATCAACGCGGTTCCTGGGGCCCCGACTCGAGATCTATTCCGGGATTTTATGCGTCTTGATGCCCAGCGAGATTCTAGAACGACGATCTCCTCCACAAGGCTGCGTCTGTCTCCTGACAGATCCGTCGATAGACAAGTTAGATGTGCTCGACAGGCTGCTAGAGTTGAGCTCTGTTCACCTGGTGACGCGTTTTACAGCATTTATTGGTCGTCGCATGGCCGAAAGGGGAATTAGTTGAGAAGGGCAGCACTATCTGCGATACCCTAGTTGCCCCCCTAGAGGTGCCAGCGGAAATAGAGTTCACGCTATATCATGATAGACTGAAACTGATCGACCGCGGCAGCCGGCATCATACCTCCAACCTTGCGGTGGGACAGGGTGAGGGCAGGCCTCACCTTGCCTCTTCCCGGCTGACTCGTCGCCGAGTCCTCTCTCCTCGGTCGTGTTCGGATGCTCCATCCAAGCCTCGACCGGAGAGACTCGGATCGACTGGTCAGCGCACGCAGTCTGCGCAGCCGGTCATTTCCGGCTGTCATTCATCGAGCGGAGGCAAGACCGATGTCACGTCCTGGAGGGGCTGCCGCCTCTACTGCAGAACTGACGTCGGCGCCGGCTCGGATTCTCATCACCGCCTCTTTTACGGCAGACGTCGACGACGAATTGAATGTGGACAACTCAGACCGCTCGACAGTTGATGCGAGTCGATGTTCACCTTGAAAAATATGGGGGGCGGGACCCGTCGCGCAATTGGCCCAAGTGCCCGATCTTATGCCGGCGCGTGGTCTTGGTCCAAACTCTACTCTATAGCACCTCTGCTTGACCGCCGGGTGAAGTCGTTGGCGGTCGACACTTATTACGCACGACAACTACACAGCCGACCACGGCAGTCAGACATTGGCTCTGGCTGAAGCCACTGCATTTGATCGTCAACAGGCAGTGAGCTACCGTGGCTGGAGAATGTAACTGAAACGGGGCGAGGATGAGGAGCAGGCCACTCATCGCCGTCGCCTCAGCTTCAGCAGAGGTTTCGCACGTGCATCGCATCGGACATCATCATGGGGGGTGGATGAGATGATGGCCCATCTCCGCCGCGATGACACTGCAGCCCAAGGTGCTTTCTGCGGTCTGCGCGTGGCATTAAACATTGGGGACCGCAACCTCAGAAATGCGTCTCACAGGGTACGCAGCGTTACACCGAAACACCGTGATCACGGATGACTGCAAGCCATCGTCCATCACCGCTCTAGATCTTCGTCCGTCGCGTCCGCAGATGCGACCTCACAGACCGGCCCACGTGACGGCAAGCATCAAGTGCCTCGCTTGGGCCAGGCGAGGGTATCCTGGTCGCGCCCCCGCGCGTCGAAATCTGTTCGGCGTACCCTCGCCGCCGTCAGAAAAGGGGCCTCTTAGCGATTTTCAAGATAATTGCAGCACTCTGACTTGCGCAGCGTCCCAGCGCTGCCGATCTTCCTGCCCAACCTTCCCAGTGTCGCCCGGTAGGTCTCCACTGCAACCTCATCTCGTGGTTCAATCTCCGAGCCGGATTTACGACACACTGCCTGTTGGAGCGTCACCAATGATCGGGACACTGCGGCCGAGGGATGAGAGAGGGGCTCGCAAACATCCCGTCGTTTCTCATTAGGCTTTCTTCGAGGTGGTCGGTAGTGGCACTCCCTCAACCTCAAGACAGGGACGGCTGGTCGACTTTCCGATCCGGGGAATTCGGCATACTTCCACGCAAAGCAAAGGAACGCATTCCTCGTCTAGCTTGAACGTTGTGAGAGCCCTTGGCGCTCAAGTGGAAGTCTTCTTCAGACGACGGGAAGACGATTTCCCTCAACTTCAAACATCTCCGCACGTGGCATGCGTGAGGGTCGCACAGTGTCTAAACATGAAGTTCGCACTGTCTTGGTGTCCCGATAATTGCATATCGCCTTGATGTGTTCATAGCCGGGTATGCTGTGTTTGCTTTCCCAATATCGACGTGTGGTCACCAGGCCCAGGCAAACAATTTGGGCCCCTGAAGGACTGCAATGGAGACCCGTGATGACGGACAATCACGACACTATTGCCTCGCCAGACCTGCCGACCTCATTCGGAGTTGACATGTCAGTTGATTTGGGAACAGTTTTATACAAACAAGTGGACAGCACTTTGCAAGGACCCTGCGGTGACACCGCCAGAGGCGGTTGACCCGAAATTGCTTTTCTTTCATCCTGTTGCCATTTTCTTTCGGGATCGAGTTCAGCCACGAACACTGCAAGTCCCCTCGGTAGGCTGTGTCGTGAAAGGATCGCCGCTGCCGCCGAGTGGCGTTTGAGCGTTGCGTTGCTGTACCCGGAAAGGAAGCAGATGGAGGCGAGCATACCGACCTGTTGGGTAGGCATGGGCAAGACAGGAGCCCGATGAAGCAAGGGAGCGATCCCATGCCCCGAGATCTTGGTTTCTGAGTTACCAGGAACGCGGCTCGCTAAGGCAAGCGGCGGCGAGGCTCACCCGTTCCCTTGGCTGTTGTGAGTTGTCATTTTCCCGCTGCGCAGACCGAACCAAAACTGGATGTCATCTGACAGTGGCCGCCAGCTGTCACATTCCAAATGCGCGCGATGTCGACTGAAGTGAGGGATTGGTACGGATCGCGGCAGGCTGACTGGGTGAGCCGAAAGACCCCCCATGGGAAGCCTCGTGACAGGTGGGTTTAGGCAAGTTCTCTGCAGATCAAGGGTGATTATGAGGCAGCGCCTGGCCCGATTCGAAGAAGCACACACGGCTCTGCTCTTCTTTCGGTCTCCGTTCTTCCACCGTTTCGAGCCTCCTGGGCATTAGTCCATCAGATGCCGATTACCGGGAACATACACGGATATTACTGCATGCTGTGCTGCTTGTTGGCCCGCAAGCCACAGAGTGAGATTCGGCAAGGGCATGAGGCTGTTCAGCCTCAGGTGTCTGAGACGCGGCCGATTGCAACCTCGAGCATACGACTTCAAGACAGGTAGCACACAATCCTGCTACGAGTGTGTCACACGCTGCCTTGCCAACCCCGCCCTCTCTCTCTCCACGAAAGATGGGGTCACAGGATACGGCGCGGATGAGCAAGTGCCTGTCTGGACCTCGCCCGGCCGGAAAGCTCCGGGCCTCGGAAAAGTACCGTGCAGTACAAGTTTGGCGAGCGCAGGAAAAGAGGGCAATAGCGCCGCAGTGGCATCGATGCGGCATCCTCTACAGGCGATGCGGCCAGGCCGCCGAACACATTGCCTTATCGGATACCCCAATCAGTGTAACCACAACCACAAGCATTGCCAATGCTGGCGAAGAGCAACGGCTTGCGAGATATGACAGCTGCGAGGTATGTTTGCCCCAAGCGATCCTGCCTGGGAGGAGACGTGGCTGGGCATCGAAAAGAGTCTGGGCCAAGCGGGAGGAAAGCCACAAGGGCAAACAAAGCAATGCAAGCGCATGGTGATGGCGATGGTGGAGAGGTGGCAAGCTGGAGGCGTCGGATCGTGGAGGGGTAACTCGTCTCAAGTCGGACTCGCTTATCTCGCCAGATGGCAATCCAAGATGCATGATGTACTGTAATGGAGATCTCCGGTAGGCCAAAAAATTTACCTGGTTGCTCAGCCCTTGAGATGTGCCAATGGTGCACCGTCGGCGCGCATCAGGGGGGATGCGTGGCATCGCGAGAGCCTTGCTTCTTTCTTGGCTGTGGCCGGGTGGGGCGTGAGTTGTTGATGAGCAGGCCACGAGTTCGTCTCGTCCCACAAGTCATATAACGATATATGATATGGGAACAATTCTGGGTTGCTTTTTGGCTCGTGAAATTGGTCCCGACGTTGCAGACGGGCCCTGCCTCTCTTCCCGAAGCTAGCAAGCTTCCTGCATCCATGCATACCATCGCGCTGGAGCCATGCAAGACACCCTTGCTTCGTCCCTTTTGGAATGCCACACCTGCAATGATAGGTTGGCCGCAGGACAGCAAACAACCTGGAAGGCTGGAAGGGCACAGTTTAGGATGAGCCGTCGATTTCGACCAGCCGAGGAAAACAGGGCAGTGTTACAAGCTTCGTATCAAAGGGCGGCTATCGCGCAGTAGGTCGGTGGAGCTGAGCCGTGGCCGACCGGTAATGGCTGCCTCAGGTCCCGACAACCTGGCTGACGGCGACAGCTGAGGTGCAGCATCTCGGGCCTGGACTTTATCCCACGACGTCGAGCAATCTCTTCTGCCAGATTCGGCAATCCCAACGGCAGAAGTTGCGGTAACTAGCTTTTCAGTGTCCGCGAGCAGCCCAGCACCGATGTTCTAGTCTTTCTCGTCCTTTACCTTCCTCCTCTTCGAGTAGGGTCTCTTCCAGAAGGCCTCCTCGCCTTCGAACCCAACAGGAGTTTGCGCTCTACGAGAGTTGGTCGCTTTCTGTTTTTCTCGGACATCCTCACCGTCATCGTCGTCCTGGATGCCCTCGGTGAAGACCATGTCACCGTGCTTGCCCAATGAGTCCTGGGCAGCCTCCTCGAACAGGATCCCAAACGTGAGGATCGCCGTCTCATCCATGCTTCGCTCGTTGACGCGTCCTATATCACCGCGTGGCTCCCCTGCACACCGGCGACCTAGTGCCTCGTAGAAATGACTCGCGTAGCCATGAACAGCCTTAACCATGTCGCTATCGGGTAGCAAGTTGCGACCGGCTTCGGGCAGGGACTCGTTTGCGAAGTATATGTCCTTCTCGGCATATCGCTGCGGGGCGCGCTTTCGGGAGAAGAGGACCTCTTCGGGGGCTAGGACAGGGTCGCCGAGATGATGTTGCCCTGAGGCGGTTTTGCGGCTGCCAGTGGTGGCATCGTCTTTTGAAAACTTGTGTGACACCCGACCTGGAATTGGGCAGATGTCAGCAGGCTGTTATGTGCAACGAGCGATTGCAGTCGTAAGCATCGGGGCAAGTTGTCCCTACCTGCGACTGCATCATACACCGTGGCCTCTCTCTGCTTTGCCGCCTCGTGGTCGTTGGACAAGGCCTCTGCGCTGTCCTCGCCGTAGGCGTATGATCCTCGCTGACGGTTCCGAGAGGCCATGTTCTCGTATGCTGGCCGATGCAGAGCGAGGATGGCAGCCTGGCCTTCGTCGGTAGTGAGTATTGTGCTCTGTCAGATCGCAGCGCATTTCCGGGGAGCGTGTAATATTCGACTCTGTTGTGCAAGCGAAACCCGTCAACGACGCGGTGGGGACTAGACAGAGTTTGAGCATGTTCTGCTGAATGGCATGCGCTGAGACCCCCCTCCTGCAGCCAACGGGTGAGAAGACGTGGTCTGGGAAGAGACCCAGGCGTGCCAGGCAGAGAGATGGTGCGGGGTTTGCCTGGAGCAGCACCTTCCCTGCCTGGCGTTCCTGGCATTCCTGGACTTGTCTCAGCTGACCCAACAACCTCGATCCTCTCAGTGCCACATCACCTGTACAGCAGGCGTGATTGACTTCTAGTGCAGATGCATGAATCAACTCTTGTTTGAACGGGCCACCGGTGGCCTCGGTGCCAACACTTTCGCCAAGCTCGAGACCACGCGGCTGTTGCGATCCTTCCGGCCAGCGCCTCAGTTTCGATTCGATGGCGGCGAGAAGGGCGCGGCTGTCGACAATGGCGAGGGCAGTTCCAGCTCTGCGAATCCCAGTAACGACCATAAATCGAATATATGGGCTCATCAAGCTGGTGTAAATGCGCTCGCCCTCGAACGCTTTGATGGCAGAATGTTTGTCAAGCTGTTTCAGTCGATAGAAATCACTCGGATTTTGACTAAGGTCTCCTCGCAGATTACTCTCTGGGGGCTCAGATGCGACCATCAAACTCTGGGATATCGAGCAATGCGGCAACCCAAACAACTCGCATGTCTATAAGCCCGTCGCGCAGATCGCGCGATCCGACGACAAGACCAAGTCCCATCGATTCGGTATTACGCATCTGTCCTTCTACCCCTTCGACCCGGCCGCGTTCCTGTCGAGCTCTTATGACCAGACTTTGAAGCTGTGGGCGACGGACAGCGTGCAGCTGTCAGGTTCGTGGGACCTCGAGTCCAAGCTATATACGCATGCTATCTCACCCATTGCCGACCACCTGTTGGTAGCATGTGGCACGGCTCATCCAGCTGTTCGGCTTGTCGATCTGCGCTCTGGCGCAGCTGTACAGTCACTTGTTGCGCCCGGACAACCAGGTGCTGGGGGAGGCGCGGTCCTATCTCTCGCGTGGTCACCGCGACATGAGCATGTTCTCGCAAGTGGAACTCTAGACGGAGCAGTTCGAATATGGGACGTCCGTCGCGCGAGTGGTCTGATAGGTCTCCTGGACCAAGAAGATAGTCTGGGTATTCTCCGAAGATGCGGAGACGTCAAGGGGAATCATATTTCGGATCGAGGGGTCCGATCATCGGCTAAGGCGCACTCTGGCCCAGTGAACGGGTTGACTTGGACAGACGACGGTGCCTACATTGTTTCAGCAGGCCACGATAGACGCATACGTGTGTGGGACACCGCTACAGGCGCGAATACTCTTGCGTCGTTTGGGCCGAGTATCAAGAATGGCCAACTGGCTAACACCCCAATGTTTACAACGCCTGTGGGTTTGACGCCGCGCAGGAAGGAGCTGCTCTTCTGGCCAAACGACACTGAAATATTGGTCATGGACCTGCATGAGGGTACCACGGTCTCCCGTCTCCGGGGCGTAGGCGCCAACATCTCGGGTGTGAGGGCACAGCGCGGGGGTGAGAGAACAGTGAAGAATCGGGTCACAAGCGTCGTGTGGAGGGGTGCTGGAGGCGCCGGTGGCTCGAGTGGCATTGTTCCTGGAGCATCTAATGTTTCCGGTGGTGTTTATAGTGGGCACACTGATGGCCAGATTCGAGCTTGGGTGCCACAGGTGCGGGGGCTGGACGAAGAAGATGAAGATGACACTTCTGAAGTGGCTCAGCAAGAGAGGGTTCAGAAGCGGAAGGCTCTTGACGATGCCTTCAAGAGTCTCATGGGCCAAAAGATCACTTTCAACTGAAATACTAGACGTCGAGGAAGGATCGTCATTTGCAGTTGTTGGTGTTTGTCTGCACCACTGGACCGTTTTCCGAAAGGAGCAGATACGAGGATCCTTGCAGACCATGCACGCGTTCGGATGAAAACCCAATTGAGTTCGCACCCCTGTGACGAGTCTCCCCCACGTTCTCGGTTGATTGGTTGACGTCCCTGGATTGACAGTGGAGGTGGATCTGGCAACGCCAGAACTCCAAATCGATATTTTGATAGCGCCTCAACTCTGAGGGGAACCTGCGATGGGCCAGTGTCAGGCGAATCCCATTCCACATGCAACGGCTCAAATACCATTGCCGGTTAACGTGCCAAGGCGCGATCCTAAGAAATACGCGTGCCAAAATGTACGATGTCAGGGTATCAAGGTGGTGGCGATGGTCAGAGGAAAATACAAGCCCATTTAAGGGACTCACTCGACCATTTTCTTAGGTGCTCTGCTATCTTGTGATCCCAATCAGTCCACACTGTCATCATGGTTGCCCTCGCCACTTCGCTCCTCCTCGCCCTGGCCTCGGCCTCAGTGGCCTGGAAGACCGGAGCAGAGAAATGCGATGCCTACAGCCATTACATCAACTACACCACAGTACCAGGGTTTTTCCTGCAACATGAGGCCGGCACAGATGCTTCAACATTTGACTACGTATGCTCATATCGTTCAGTACATTTGACCACACTATGTGCTGACAAGTGTACAGACCACAGTCAGCTTCGGTCTCCTTAATAGGACTTATCCCACGGACTCATTCTACGGAAGAAATCTCCAGAACCAGACTCAATGGCAGCGTTTTTCAGCCTACATTGACGCATTGAACGCAAACTCCAGCGATGATGTTGCGTACAAGGTTTTGTTCCTGGCAAGGCACGGTGAGGGCTACCATAACGCGGCTGAGTCTTTCTATGGCACTCCTTCTTGGAACTGTTACTGGGCTGAAGAAGAGGGCAATGCTACTGTCACCTGGAGAGATGCTCTCTTGACGTCAGACGGCATTGCGCAGGCTCAGAAGGCGAACGCGTTCTGGAAGAGCCAGATAGCCACAGCTGGGCTCCCAGCGCCCGAGTCATATTACACCTCACCACTGCGGAGGTGTCTCTATACCGCTAATGTCACATTTGGCGGCCTTGATCTCCCCACGGATAGACCGTTCACACCAACTATAAAGGAGTTCTTCCGCGAGGGTATTAGCATCCACACATGCGACAGTCGCTCCAACCGCACCCACATCTCCAGCCTCTTCCCCGCTTGGGGGTTTGAGCCCGGCTTCCCGGAACAAGACCCCTACTGGAACGGCATCACGGGCGAGGACTCCTCCAGCCAAGCGGCGCGCTCAAAGATCGTGCTCGACCAGGTCTTCAGCGAGGACGACGCAACCTGGCTTTCCGTCACGAGCCACTCAGGCGAGATCTCGACCATCCTGTCCGTGCTTGGGCACCGAGCTTTCCGCCTCGCGACAGGCCAGGCGATTCCGGTGCTCGTCAAGGCGGAGAGGCAGTACCAGGCGTACCCGTCTACAACTGTTGCTGGCTGGACGTCTCGGGCGACCTGTACTGCGCCGCCGGTCACTAGCCTTGCTACTGGCGGGTGCGTCTGTTCTAGTGCGACGGCGACGGCTACGGCGACTCCCACGGCGGCGGGGGCAGCAATGAGAGGCTAGCCCGACCAGGGTGGAGAAGGCCCCCGTTGTATATAAACACGCTTCTGTCTTGTAAAAATTAATCAAATGGCAGACCTGACGAGATTTGTGCAAGGCTCAGTGATCCCCAGAATAAGAGTCAGGCAGACTCTTCACTTCAGCATGGCTGATCAGGCTCAACACCTGTACCATCCCCAAAGGGTCTCACAACAGAAACGATGAGATGATATTCAGCGGGATCAGCTCCGTTCACAATAGTCGCGGTCTTCGTATAGCTCTCCGAAATCATCAACACCTGTATATGGCCTTTTTCATCCATTCCCTCTGAAATGACCACCCACAGGATAACCACATCAGGGACAACCGCCTGTAGAATTATTTCTTGAAACTCTCATGTCTAGGTGGGTTTTCTGTTTCTTTCTGAAAATTCTTGAGAATCTGGCGACTCTCTGAAATCCTTGACAGCTGTAAATGATCCAACAGGGGCATCTGTGCCTTCCCGGCGTGCAAGCTACCAAGACTTCGGAGCTATTCTTCGGAAGACCCCGCAAAATTTGGCTGTAATATCAGAGGTGATTCTGGTAGCAAGGCCGTCATGAAATGCAATAAAACGAGTCAAACACAAATCTTGATCACCTCGATAAGACGAATCATGGATCTATGCCCAGAGGTGCAGGAACCGCTACACTGTGTTAGACCTAGAGCCATCAAGGTCCTCCTCGACAAAAGAACCTGGGACGGGACTGCTTGAACGAAATGCGTGGCTTGCTTGACATCGTTTCGGCTTGAATCCAGTACCCCTCTCCCTGAAGAGCGCCAACGTGCCTGAATCTTCAAACAGAACCACGACCACCACCGTGCCGACAGGGCACCCCCCGCATCCGAGTGGCAAGGATTGGGCAGCAACAGGCGCCGGAACGCCAGGGGACGCCCACGAGGGAGGAAAGGTGGGGGAACCCGTGATCGTGAGCTCATGCAGGTCGAAGCAGGAGTTTTTCTAGGAATGCAACGCTGACGGCCCCCGGGGGCGCCGTCTCCCTCCAGCCCCTGCTAGCCCCAGCCGTCTCATCTGTTCAGCCTCAACAGTGTTGGACCTGCCAAGGCAGGGGCCTTGCTAGGCATCTGGATGGGCACCCTTCAGCCTTGTGGAAAGAGTGACAATCTCCCGGGGGGGGGGGGGGGAAGCGTTGGATCGTGCAGCCGGTTCCCTCCGTGCGCCCCATGCTACCTGCCTGGGCGGACGCCGTCCGCCGCGAGAGCACCCAGCGCCCAGCGCCAGCGCCTACCATGGTACTTGACAGTCGTTCCATCGCCCACCATTACCCCTCAACGTGCCGTCGCCCATCGAATGAGCCTTGGCATCCCATCGTTTGACGCTCGAGTGACCGAAAGCTAGAGTGACGGCGATGCTACTTACGGTAACTATGGCACATCCGATGACGGACAATTGATGGTATCCGGTCCCAGACACCCGAGAAATATGTCGTGGTACTTTTGGGACCACTGAGGAACCGGGATGCCGACGCAAATCTCACTTGTCCGTCACAGCTCCGTTTCCCCTCCCTCCCGGGCCCTCCTGTCGTGTTCCTGTGTCCTACCGAGCCGACCGAAACGGTGGCCAGCGTTGCATTCGCAAGCCCGCTGCTGCGCGACATTGCTGCCCAACTGGCGACAGCGTCCACCGCCAAATGTCCGATGTGCAGGAAAGACATGAGCCCCTTTCCGAACCGCATACATAATGTCTCGCTCATCGTGCGGGTCAGGGGCGCGCGGAAGCGGGCAACAGCAAGAAAAGCGCCCTCCAGCACAAAGTTTGGGCATCGTCGGTCACATGAGGAGTGATGCATGCGTATCATTCGATCCACTCACATCACCTGGCCCATGTCGTCGCTGACAGTTCGGGTGCTGTCTGCCTTCGTGGTGATCCGCCGTGACAAATTGCCGACGAAAACCTCCGCATTACGGCTTGGCCATGTTTGCCGAAAGTATTTCGTGAGGAGGAAAGGAGCGGATCCGCAGGTGGCATACACGTTTACTCCAACACTTGTAGCGAGCTCGCATCCGGCCTTGACCGCAGTTGGGCAGAGTTCATGTCGGGTCTGGCACATCCATGCACCCTCGTAACATGTTCATATACCCTCCGTCCGGAGATAAGCGGCCACTATGCTGGTTGGGCTCGTGCCATGGAATATCTTTGTGCCTTGGTGCTATGCTTGGAAAGCAGGAGATTGCGAGGCATGTGGCCATTATGACGCCCAGGTTGTTCACACGTGCGCGCGGTGGACACATGTGGGAATTATGGTGCCTTCGATTCTCTGAGTAAGAGCATGAAACGAAACACCAAAGGTCAGTCGTAATGGTGACAGATGCCGCGTATGACCTTGACGGTTTGTGTACAGAAAGTCCACAGGACTTGAGGCAACACTCTGGGTCGAAGTACTGTACCACGCGGTCCTAGCCTGCTGACTGCATTGCCGAACTTGCATTAGCAATTTGAGCCGCTGCTTAGTATTTGATGTTGAATCGCGATCACTGAAGAAGGTGGGAAGAAGAATATTTCAGGATGCCTTCAAATTCTGGACGACATGAGCTCTCCTGCTCGTCTCAGATGTTCCCAGTTTCGCCAGCACAATCAGGTGATCAAAGACAGCGAATCAGACTATTGAAGTCCCAGACCACAAGTTCCACATCAAAAAAAAAAGTTTGAGCCCTGAAGAAGGAGTACGCACAGATTGGCACTGCTGATGACACTCAGCCTGCCTGTTCATTGATAGATCCTGTGATCTGGATCGATTGAGATCTGACTAACGGTAGATCTGGGAGCAGGACCCCTGCTGGACAGCTGCAGCTAGGTGTAGCTTGCCTACCTGCAGCAGCCTACGAGCCCCGCGTGCTCCACTGTCAGAGAACCCAGGTAGAGCCAGCCTCTGTTGCCTGCCGGCCAGCGTTACCTGGCCAGCTCCCTCGGCTCCGACTATCCAAACACTGCGCTCCGGTCATCATCAACGTCACCTCCTTCAACATCCATTGTTGGTGTGGCGCTCATCATCGTGCCCCATACCCACTGTCCCCGCGGAACCACCAGTATCAGTCATTGATAGAAATGGCAACGCGCCGCCTTTGCTGATCGTCTAGGTGTCCAAGCTCGACCGTCTGCGACCTGCCCATAGCAACCTCGAATCCGCTCAGCACTCGCCGAAAGCCTCGTCTGAGAAGGCGATCACGATGGCCACTCCGCAGTCCATGAAGCCCGCGCCTTCGCAGCAGGGCAAGACCCCGCAGCAGTCGCACCATGGCGCGATTGGTACTCCTGGCGCGTCGGCCTCGACCCCGTACTCGAACCTACATGCCTTCTCCCCTCATGGACCGAGATCGTCTCCGCAGCAGATCAAGAAATCGCCTGCGACTACGGGGACCCTGATGGGCAGCAACAGCCAGACTGGCGCCGCGCCCATGAATTTCGACAGCCCCTCCGCCGCAGCCTTCATGGCGAGTTTCGATGCGTCTTTGGTGGACAACATGGGCATCACATCGATGGGCATGCCGCGGCCCAGTGGCGACGAGGAGCGGCAGAATAGGCTGAATGATGTACTGCAGATATTGAGGGTACTTCTCCGCATATGACACCCTGACGTCGGCTGACAATGAGCTAATGGTCTTGCAGCAAAAGAAGGGTGTCGTCAGCAACGAGGGCCTGGAAAGACTGACTAAGAGGGTCGGACTGGACTGCATGTGGGAAGACGTCCCACCCATCAAGAACTTTGTCATTGCGGGTGATACTGTCGCCTTGGAGATTGGCATGAAAGACCATGTTGCGCAGACGGTCAAACTGGACTTTTCCGTGTCGAAAGACCCTGTGACGAAATACGCGAGCAAGGCTGAAGCAATACTCCTCGATGACCTGAAACTGGCACCCGGACAACACCCATGGACCAAGTCTCTCGACAAGTTTGCCGCGAACCTGGAACGTCTCGCAGCCTTGGACAAGCTGAGCGTCTTGGGTAAGGACGGCGCGAAGCCTCACCTTGTAACCCATGATGCTGTAGCAGGACTCTATGAGAGTCTGGAGAAGTTGCATGAATGGGACGTCAAGCGACTACACGACAACGCAGAGCTTATTACAAAGGGTGACGAACACATCAGAGTCGTCGCGATGTGTGAACGGAACGGCCGACCAGTCATGCACGAGAGAGGACATGTGGGAATGTGTCTGGACTTCTGGCGCGAGAACAGGCTATACATCCCACGTGGCGAGCAAGCCAAAGAGAAGATCAAGAGCGCAAAGACCTGGGGCATTCTGATCGGCTGCGCACCAAGGGACCCGCTCTATCCTGCTCCTGTCAGAGTGTCCAGTGAGTGGCTGGCGGATGACATCGAGATGCCAGCCACAGATGGGCTGCAAGAGCCTATGTTGGATTGGCAACAACCACCGGACTGCATATTACCTGGGGACGACGGCTCACAACCTCATGACGGCCTGATGGCACTGACGGGCCCGAAGCTGCCCGATATCATGTTCATGGCCGCATTCGACCCGCCCGTCACTCTCCCGTTCAGCGTGTGGATAGAGATGCGACATGTGACGGGAGCACCTGTTGGTGATCCGCCGCCATACATACCGACATTTGACAGTCTTATTTTCCCTCCCGGCCCTGACTACAACGCAGCAGAGCCGCGGGTGATCACAGCAACGAAGTTGGTCAAGGCTTTTACCAAGGACAAGAAGCCGGCACCAAAGACATATGAGAACCGACTGTTCATACACAAGCCTGTCTACGGGCAGGCTTTGACTGACCTGCCTTTCTCACACCCCTCGCAGTTGGTTGCCATGCTTCCCACCCTGCGGCAGTACGCTTTTCTTCAAATTCTCCTCGACAGAGCATTCGGCATTGGAGAGGAGAAGCCAATGGCATCTGCGAAGACCAGGTTAGATGTACCGGCCAAAGTGGTAACCGCGAAGGCAGACGAGTTCGATGCCTGGATGAGCGAGGGCAACAAGGACACGAGGGCACAGGAGAATGAGCAGGTCACCGCCGACGCATCGTCAGATCAAGGAACTGTCAAGATTGACATCACTCTGAACGCCCACCCGCAACCAAATCCCAAGCTACAAATCATGTTCCCTTACCGAGGACGGCCCGCGCAGGTCACGGTCGACATCGAGCGCAACGGCGTGGTACAGGTCGAGTCGTGCAACATCGTCGACGACGAGGGCCGGGCGGTCGATGAGACGGGCAGCCCGGTCGAAGGCGCGGCGCCGAACCCGGCGTGGAGCAAGGAGCGCTTGGGCCGGCGGCTGATGTTCTTTGAAGACATCGGGCTATGGTGCGAATGGATACGGGTCAATGTTGGGCCCTAACTAATAAGCCAGTGCGTCTGCACCTACAATACTGGAAGTGGAGTATTTGAAAGCTCTCATGCAACACAGCCAACGTGGAGGCCTGCTCGATCTGAACAAGGGCTAGACGGCTATGAGAACCAGATCTCTACATTTCAACAGTCCGGCTCTAGCTTCATGTATGTTGCGACAGGACAAGAGCAAGCAGATCCCGGGTCAGGTAATTAAGAGCTCATCAACATGAGGGCGTATGCCTGGTGCCTGGCAGGTCAAGATAAATGGCCATGGCTGAAGAGTTATTAAGACAAGCGACCGGGAAATGAAGGGGCCGATTTCAATAGTAATTGACGAGATGATACCCACCCTTCTTGTGTTCTACGTGAAGCCACGGAGTGAAATAAAGGTGCGCGTTGACTTTGCAGGAGGGGGGTCAAGGCGATAGTCCCGTCCACCCTATATTGGAACGTAATCTTAAAAGTCAAGACAAGGTGGTCAGTGCAGCCATGCATGCTCGTGTCCGAGACGTTGCATATTTCGTCCGAACTCCTGCGTCGTCCTCGGAGCCGTTGGAGCCGAGTTTGGTGGGAAAAGGGGGACGGGCCGCTGGACCCCTGGCTGCTGAAGAAAGAAAGATTGGGGCGCGGCCGTGCCGTGGGATTCTTGATTGTCGATGTGCATGGGTGGGGACCCACCGCGGCAGGAGAGGACCCTTCAGTCTGGGGGAGGGGAGATGGGAGGGTTGTTGTGGTGCTTCAGCGAGAAGGGGAGTGTTGACAGAGAGGAAGCAGGAACAAAACGTGGCATGAATGTGGCGAGATTGCAATGTGATGCCATATGCGGGATTTTGGGTCGTTGGACGGGCGGACGGAGAGACGGACAGATAGCGAAGGTGAGGAAGGGGGGAGGGCGATGATGTATTGTTTGTTTTGATCAGCGTCGTGTAGAATCCATATTTGTCCAGCTGACAACAAGCGACAAAAGGGGGCCAGATACGGAGTACTGTACTCCGCAGACTTGGTTTCCGAGAAGCCATCCGGGCTAGCTGGGCTGACAATGTATTGAACCTAAATTTGGGCTCGAGTAAGTGTTCTCGTCACCTTCCTGTAGCCATTTCCGGCCGTTGTTGTCATGCGTGCGCGCGAGATGCTGCGTGGCCGCGTCTGGCAGTCAGGGACAGCCAGGGCAGCCGGTCAGCAACGTGGCCTCGTGTCGTTCATTTTAGCACAGAGTTTCACGAAATCCTGAGAGCAAGCCAGAAATGGATATCGGCCGATGCTCCGGTCCCCCTCGATGACCGAGGGCCACGATGATGTCGCATTGTAAATAAAGGGTCCTCAGGGTACACGTCACAAGGCAGAAGACCCTGAGGTCCCCTACTCGGTTAGGTCAAGAGCGTGTCTGCGTCTCGTCTCCTGAGGAACCAGAGCAGAGTCAACACACCTAAGTAGCCTTTCAGGCACACATTGGGAATTTTGTTAAGCTTCACGGCACTGCGTCATTGCTTACGGGATGCCGCGGCGAGGAGGACGAGTGAACAGCATCTTTTTGGCGGCTTCTGGCGCGTCTTGTGCTTCCGAATCGAAACCTGACCAGGGTTGCGCAGACGGGCGGATGGTGGGCTGCAGAGAGTGCCGTCGTGCCGCCCCTTCTCATCCACACAATCCCACCTTGCCACTTCCAGGGCGTGTGATTGATTGGGCAGTGAGCAAAAGCGTGCCTGATGGCTCCACAGGCGGCTTCGACCCAGGCCCATGGGCCCAGTCATCCAAGTCCGGCCTGGACGGAGTAGACCCTCAGACCCTGAGATGACCCCGAAAGGAGGGACCCAGGGGTCTCGGGAGTGCTGGAGAGGCCAGAGAGGGTCTTGAGGATGCGGAAATTCCGCCACCCCAGAAAAGGAGGGGGTTGGTGTTGTTATTGTTTATTGTTGTTGTTGGATGGTCTCACTCTCTTACACCAGGCCAAGACCCCCAGTTGTTCGAAACAATAGGGAGACCTGGTTGTTTTTAGAAACTGCTTGGCTGAGGACTGACTGTGTTTGTCCACCTGCAAAAGAAGAAGACAGAATGGGAAAAAGGGACAGGGGAAAAGGGATCGTTTGTTTGTTGGGGCTGCTCTGATGGCGACAAGGGCCATTCGAATTTGAAGGGATTGAATAGTGCCCGGGGCTACCTACCTAGGTAGGTACCTTAGGTAGTACTAGAGATGCATGATGCCGGACTGCTAAAGATTTTCATCTAGTAGAAGCACGTTACTAGTCACCCGGTGATGAAAGGCTCCTCTGATAACACTGCAGTAAACAAGCTGTCAGCCTGGCAAGGGTTGATGGGGAAATCGAATCTTGGGAGGGATATGCCATCTCATGCATGCCAAGACCACATGCCAAAGGGGAAAGTGACAGGGGTTGTGTCCACCGCCTTGCAACTGCCCCCACAAAAACGCGTCTTGCAACCGCGAATGCGGTGTCCCAATAAGGAAAGGGGTAAACAAGAGCGCGACTTCCACTGCTGCACGCCGCATGAAAGAGCATGAGCGTGAGGCAGAGCCACATACACACACATACACACGAGCAGAGACCAGGCACTCTAACAAGGAAGCTGCCACTTTTTTAGCCTGCTCTGCCACCACTCCCACCTGTTCCTGCACCTCCTGCGCCCGCACCACACTTGGATCTGTCCATCCATCCGCCCATCCATACACCCATCATCCTGTCACTCCCCTACCAGCACACCACACCTCCCAACCCATCTCATCTCGATCGAGATCACGGACGCTCCTCCTGTGGCACAGACACCTGTGACGTGCTCTGTCCATCTCTTACCGCCAAGGCCTTGCCTACACTCACGCGAAGAGGGAACAAGATACACCTCTTGTCGCGAGTCGCCACTGCTTCAACAGACATCAGCAGTCAGCCATCCTTACAACCAACCCAAATATCCTGTGCTGTCGCATCTGGGCGCTTCCACCGCCACGCCCATTTGGACCCTGAGCCAGGCTGTGGTCCTGATCGCAAGCAGCAAGGCTAGAACGGAATCTCATTATCTCCTGCCTTGACTGTCGCCTCCACTATCTGCATCGAATCGCGTCAACCCCTCCTCGTCACCTGTTTACGGCGCCCAAAAGTGCTTTACTTTGTCAGCAGTCATCGAAACATCGCCACCCTGGGTCAGAAGTCGTCGAACACCTTCGAAATGGTCCGAGGCGAACCGGACCTTTCGTCTTGACCCTCCCTTTTCCACATTGGCCGACTTACTATCTCCCTGTCCTATTCATTCTGTTGCCTGAGCTTTTGGTTTCTGCCTGTCCCATCATTGCCGCCTGAACATCAACCACCACGAGCCGAAAGCGTGTGCTATTTACTGCGCATCACTAATACTCCCTACTGCGACGAAGCCTAGAATTCATCTTTGACATTGACATCCAAAGTCATGTCGTATTCCAACGGCAGCGGCGGCACTCTTACCCTCCCTTCACCAAACAGTGTCCATCACGTTGATGTCACTGCTGCGGTGCGCTCGTTGAGACGCTCCATCTCCCGTTCACCTTCAAAATTCAATCTCGTGAGGGCAGCATCTCAGAGCTCCGACGGCTCCCTCTCATCTCCAAATTCACCGTCGCCTTGTCGCGTCATTCAACGACCCATGCCACCAGCGTCTGCTCCTCATCTGTCGCATCAATACTCGCAGTCTAACCTCGCAACACCTTTTCGAGCCGGTGTAAAACTCTCCCTGCGATCCGGCAAACCGAAGGCCGCATCTGCCAAACCGATTTCTCGAGCTCATCGCGTTTCCCCCAAGAGCCCGATCAAGCGCGCCTTGAGCAACACGACGGATTCTGGAAACTCTACCCTCTCGTCTTCACCGCCCGCCGCGGACACGTTGACGGGCCAGGAAAACGACCTCTTTGGCAACGTCCCGATGACATTAAGCCCCACGTCACGCAAGAGCTCTGAGAAGCACCACTCGCGCCACTCCATGCATCTGGACGTGTCTGGTGCTTCCAAGAACACCTTCCCGCGCCTGTTCGACTTCAAGACGGACTCGATCCCCTCGAATTCGATCAGTCCATTGAAGCGCAGCGATGCGGTCATGAATCCCGACCAGGCCCATGTTGACAATCCGGTTGCGAAGCGGCGTAGTCTGCACGGAATTTCGAACTTCCCTACGGAGGGCTCTGACATATTCGACGTTTCCTCGCCTGCGCCTCAGTGCTTCGAGATCCACGAAGACCCAAACAAGGAATACGAGCTGGACAACCAGTCCTTGATCTTCCGCGACAATTTGGCCTCGCCGACGCCAGCCGCAATGCCTCGCCGTTCTGACTCGTTGCGCAAGTCAACTCTCCAGCAACGGCAAGACGACAGATCGTCTTGGGGACGACGACAGGGCGAAAAGCACCTGGCGCAACTCGGCGCCGAAGCGTCTACTCCAAATGCCCGGAACAGACCGCGCGTGTCCCTGGACCAATTCGTACAACCAGCTCTGTCCCGCGACAGCCCATTTTCTACGCAGCCACCCTTGCCGAACCCGTCACTACACATGCTAGACCGACAAAATGCTCCGCCGCAGCCGCATCCCTTGTCGCGATCGCTCACAACCTCTTCCTCCAACTCAAGTATTGCAGACGAGTCTCCTACCCATATTCCTGTTCAATTCGAAAAGCCGAGAGCCCATGCGTTCGCGAAGTCCCTGCCCCTCGGGGCGCGGCCTGCACACGATGGCGGCAACAGGAACACAGCGACGCCAGCCTACAAGTCAGCCAGGCCGCTTCAGGATGCCTTTAAGTCGACGGGGTTGATTTCGAAGGTGAACCGCAATCCAGAAAAGGAGCCTTCATTTGGTGGATCGAAAGCAGTCATGCCTGACACCCCATGCAAGAAGCCGATCTACCCTTCCAATACATACCCGCCCTCATCCGGCGGCGGCAAGGGGCGCCACCGTCATTCTTTCGGGTCGCCCTCCAGTCCATTTGCCCCGGGCCGCAAAGACAACAACTTCGTCCTCGGAGAACCTGAGAAGGTAGCCAGCTTGTTCAGGCCTCTCCAGACAGGCCACACTCGCAAGGGCAGCATATTCAACTTCGACTCGGATATCGACCCTCAGAGCTTTGCTGATATTGAGTTCCCACCCACGCCAACCAAGTCAGTCTTGTTCAGGAGCCTGGGAAATTCCAGATCGGTCGGTGCAGTAGGCGAGACCCCTTTTGCGAGGGCCATGCCAGCTCCAGCCTCTGCTGTTGGCTTCCGTGATCGTCGCCCAACGCCCGATCCAATGTGTAAGTCGGCACCTTTCAACAGAAGCGCAACAGCCACGGGCAATGCGGATCAGACGTCCTCCGGGGCAGCCAATACCAATGCTGCGCCTGAAGGCGGTCTATCTTCGCCATTCTCAGAATCGTTCCTCTCTTTCGGAGATTCTCGAGCCCGGCGAGGGTCCCATCTGACCCCGAAGCCGCTCAAGCTTCGTTCTACCACCCCGACTCTATCTAGTCAAAAGAAAGTTGAGTTTGCTGAAACAACCTACGTGATTACAGCAAGCCCATTGGGCCCTCTGGACAGCCTCAGAGCGAGCTCTCCGAAGACTCCGTGCAGCAACAGCAACCTCATCCCTCCCGATCCTAGTTCTCTCTCCATATCTAACCATGAAGCACCGGGTAATACGACATTTGGATCATTCCCACCGGCAACACCGACCTCGAGACAGGCTGACCACTTTGGCTTTGCTGACCGTCGCATGAGCATCACACCTATCAATGGCCAAGGCCCAGCCGATGTTGACATGGTTCTCAACTCTGTTTTCGACCACGTCGAACTTATCGGAAAGGGAGAATTTTCTCAGGTCTTCAAGGCCACAGAGACCAGTGAGCAAAAGACCGCGGCTTCCATTAGCGGCACTCCTGGCACACCCCCAACGCCGTCGCAAGCACGCGTGTTTGCTGTGAAGAAGACCCGCCTTCCTTTCTTCGGTGCCAAGGATCGCGAGGCTAAGCTTAGAGAGGTGAACATATTGAAGGCCCTTCGAGGATATCCCCATGTCCTACAGTACGTCGACAGCTGGGAGAAGCAATTCCATCTTTACATCCAAACCGAATATTGCGAGGAGGGTAGTCTCTCGGAGTTTCTGGGCAATGTCGGTTCTGCAGGTCGACTGGACGACTTCAGGATCTGGAAGATATTGGTCGAGGCCAGCATGGTATGTACTTTGAAGTCGTTCGAGTCCAGTTTGTACGATCCACTAACAAAATCTACAGGGCCTTCAGAGCATCCACGAGGCTGGTTTTATTCACCTCGATTTCAAGCCGGCAAATGTTCTTATCAACTATGAAGGTACCCTCAAGATCGGGGACTTTGGCTTGGCGACCACTTGGCCAGCAGCTCGTGGCATCGAAGGTGAAGGAGATCGACGCTACATCGCTCCGGAGATCCTCCAGGGCAAGTACGACAAGCCTGCCGATGTTTTCGCACTTGGCTTGATCATGTTTGAGATCGCCAGCAACGTCTGGCTTCCTGACAACGGACCTCACTGGCTAGCATTGCGAGAAGGCAACTTCTCTGCTGTCCCAACGGGTCCTCTGACTGGGAGTGAAGCCGATGCTCTGGTCCGAGATGCGACAGGAATGCCCATCGTTGGGGATCTTGACACCACGACTGGTGTCTCTCCGCTCTCTCAAGAGGAGCACACCGCCGGCGAGGCACGCTATTATGCAGATGACAGCCGGCAAAACTTCCCCTTCAACTTCACAACCTCGTCTACCCATGATGCCAGCAATCTGTTTGGCACTCCCAAGCGTGTCGAGCTTGAGCACCCTCCCGATTTCATGGTCGACGCGGGACACCTGAACTCGCTCGACAACATCGTCCAGTGGATGCTCGCCCCAGAGCCCTCAGATCGCCCTTCAATTCAACAGGTGCTCGACGTGGAGTCTGTCAGATGGGTCACTACTCACCGCCGCGCAGGTGCTACCGTCTTTGAGGGCAACTGGGGACCTCAAGAGGATTACCAGGACGACAACCTGAGCGATACGGTGATGACGGATGCCTAGATTACATCACCATTTGGGGAATACTCGCTTTCAAATGCCACATATCGTGGAAACATTTTGATCGACCTATCTGGATAGGGCCTCTCGGTGAGGCACAAACGATCTGGACATGGACGGTTGAGCCTTTGTCCCTTGAATTCTATAGGCGTTCTGGCTGGATATTCACCATGCTGGGGCTGGGAATCATTTTGCCATGGCGCAGCTCGAAGGAATACTAGGAACGCGGGAGTACAGCACGCATTCCCACATCTTCGGCATTATCGACCGATTTTTTACGACCCATGAGATGACGATATTATGTCACGACCTTCCTTTCAACCAACTCGATGACCGAAACGTGCTTTCCCTTTGTTCTAAGCATTTGTCAAGCTCGGTCGCTATTCGAATACAGTACTCGATATCCTCGTCATATTGCACAAATCGCACAGCTCGGTGTGTGTCGGCCTGTGTTGATCACGAGTGTTTGTGCCACAGCATTTCACGCGTCTCACATGCTTTCGAAAGGTTCTGGGGATTTGGAATGTTTACTGGTTCTGTGCGGCGCCCAGATCTCATCATTTGGCCAGATGAGACATTACGTACGGTCTGAGGGTAAAGGAGCATCATCATGGCATCGGGACCCACGGCAACACGGCTAAGCACTTGTATGGACTAGAAAACTTTCATGGGGCTTTCTTGCTATTAAAGGTCAACGGTGTCTGTAGGACATGACATGTACATAATTATTTGTCGGCTGGCTCGAGAAGAGAGCCGCTGTAGTCCATAATCAAGATCTAGACAGCTCCCTGAAGGAGTTGGCAGACACATGAACGCCTCCATGCCAGTGAAGACACATCTATTGGACCACCTACTGAGACCCATTTGATAGCACGTATATGCCATTCCTGTCGCCACTTTGCAAAAAGAGTTGTCCGCCGTGCCTCAAGAATTCCAGTAATGGTACATAGGTACTCTGACCGTTCCGGGTGTCTACCACCGTTGGCTATCGGAGGAGTACAGCCTACCAGTCGGGCAAACGCGCATAATTAGGCAGTGTCGGGAGAAGATATTATTATTTCGATCAAAGTCATGGCAAAGCACAGCACTCTCTGCCCTCTCCCACGTAGCATATGCGACCACCATCATCACGGCATCTCAGGCCGAGCGCCGGGTCTGCGTGAGTCGCAAGCCAGTTCACGGTCGCCGTTCCCGACTGATGCTGTCCTCTCTTTGAGGTTGTCCCAGGAGACGGCGAAACGCTAAAGGCTTGTCCTTGCCTGGTGAGCCTGTGACTAACAAGCTGCATGTTGTCCAGCCATGGCATTGCGGCCAATACCTACCTGTCCAGAGACGCGCCAACTTGGCCCAGGAGTTCTGGTCCGGCCACGAGCGGCATAGCAAGACGCCAGCGACTGAGCAAACATGTGAGCCAAGCTTATAGGGCCTGCCGGTTCTCAACAATATAGCTCAGCATGAACGGTCAGTCGGTGGGCCGATCATGGACTGAGAGGCGTGTTCACGCAGGACATGTAATACCATCGGTGTAGTTCCAGCCTCCTCTTCATCTGACTTTCAGCTGATGATGGGGTGACATCAGTAGGCTCGCCCTACTGATGAGAGAAGACATATAGCGGTGTTCTCAATCAAAGGAGGCTGCGCTTTGCACCAGGAGGTCGAAGTCATGTCAACAGGTTCGCGACCCGCCCTGGGCCTTGTCCAGCACCGGTGTCCTCTGAAAAGCACACAGACAGTATCGATGGCTGATGTTACGTGCCTGTGCCGCAGGCTTCCCTTTGTGCCCAGCTGGAACCGCAGGATCCCGCTGTCTTGGAGCCGTCACCCAGCACCACGTGAGCTGAGCCGCTCATCACATAGACTTTGTCTTCCGAAAGGCACCGATTCCCCGTCAAATCACACGGCTCGGCAACGTGAAGAAGCCGCGAGCTTTACCCACTCACACGCGCAGTCAACCCAAGCCACATGGAAGGAGGAAACCAGGCGCGGGAGGTACTGGCCAGCTTCCTCTACGCTGCGGGCGGACAGCTCATCACGGGGACACAAGGCAACCAGGCTGCCTGCGTCGCCAGACCGCAGCACCAATCGGCGGTAGAACGTGAGCAAGGGAAGAGGGCCGGAAGGGCTAATGCCCACTCGGACCCAGAGATCCTGTGGAATCCTTTTCCTTTTGGGGGCCTCTTGTGCAACAGACAGACCAGGATGCGGTGAGGCTTCCATAAGAAGTGGAAGGGCTTTGTGAACGAGATGCGCGAATGGATTCCTTGACCGAATGACGTAGAGCTCAGCCCTCAGTTCTGACGAGAGGTGAGATCTTCTGTGTGATGAACTACAACACCCGGATTGACCGATATTGGTGTATTGGGCTGCGCTTCGAAAGCGCTGTGTTACACTGTCAGAATTCTTCCGCGGGCATTTCGCAATTGCCACACAACGCCCAGCCGTTTTTCGCGCAGCGATGCCGGCACTTGTCGGCAACGGCGATGTCGGTCTCGCCTTGTTCAGAGATAGGCAGTAGGTAACGCAGCCACCAGGAGCGCAAAACAAGGGGCAGTCAAGGTGGCCGCTCCAAACACATCCAGGCCGAATGTCACCTTCAGATACCGGTTGAGTGGTGCTCCCCGCGACGTCTCCAATGGACGGATGCCGATGTCCCGTGCGGCTTACCCGGAAATCGCACCTGAGACAACAACAGTAGCGGCGTAGATGTTTTCGCATGCCCCAAGTTCCTCTGTTGCTGATGCTGAGGCTGATGCTGATTGCTATTTTCCGAGCAAAAGCGAGACTCAGACGACCAGAGATACGTCTCCCGTCTGGGTGGCAATTTCCCATTATGCGCGCCGGAAACCAGCTGCAGTAGCGCCAAGGTGCTAGTGACCGAAGCGGGTGTGGGTCCCGGGACTTAGAAGAGAGACTCAGTGACAAGGCTGACGATCCTGCCGTCAGCAGGCTAACGGAATTTCCCAGGTTGCGTTCGACGATCTGCAACAAGGGCCGGAAGCCCTCCTTGATTGCTGTGTGCGAGCTACGGTTTTATTTTGTATCGCAGATCGAGAGTGCATTCCATCGTAAGCCCGGCAAGCCATGAGATGGATTGATGGCAGCAAGCAGCCAATCGGTGACGAGGGGCGGCTTTCTGTACCGGTATAGTCGCTATATGCCGAAGGATTATAGGTTTTCCGCCTGCGATCCTGTGTCGTGAGCCTGTCGCGAATAAACTGGTTCCTCAGGTTGCATCTGGGACCAGAGTTTGTGAAGGTCAATCGACAGTACTTTTAAGGTTCGTTCGTGTCCAATGCTCATTTGCCAAACCTAGTGGCAAATAGCTCTCCAGCCTGTTGGGTTCTGTTTGCACACGGGCGCGAGCGCAGGGAAGCTGGTCAAAGTGGTAGATTTAGTCTTCACCCTCCCAAGGGAAGTTGCGACATTCGGAAGGAAGCCAAGCGGTTCTGATGTCTTGTCCCCAAGAACGACCGCACCCGTCCGTCTACTGTGTGTGTACCAAGGGCCGACTTGGTCCTTGCAATGAAATTCTCGAGACCGGTGTGCATCGCCCAAGTTCAGTGCGTCGATTCAAGCGAGGTTGTGCCTGTGGCCCCGTCATTTGGCGACCCGGCCTTGGTCATTGACTCGAGAGATGCTGCACTTTGAAATCCGACCACGACATTTGGCGAATGCAGATCGCCAAGGGTGCTGTTCGAAGGGACGTGCGACGTTGCGTTGACCTGCTCGAAGCAGCAAGCAAGTGCTTTGACCACTCGCAAGCCTCTGCGCCGGCCTATTCATCCCGTCATGAATGATGACTCGCAGCGACTATCGCCTACGAAGTCGTATTCACATGCCAAGCCTGTAAAAGCATTTCCCAGGTGCAGTGCAGCTCAACATTGGTGCCTGCGAGGTCACGGAGCCGCCGTGTGCCGTGGATTGCTGAAAAGTCAATCGCACGAGCCTTCGAGGGTGAGGTGCAGGCCCAATCAGGTGACGCGCAGCGTCTGTGCCAAAATGATCGGGACTGCACAGGTGATGGATCTCTTGGGAGGTCCTGCGGCAGAAGATCCGAAGATCCCCAACATCAGACTCGTCAATGCGTGCCGTCCTCGCCTTCCGGCAGGGTGTTTCCGTAGGGCAGGAAATTGCAATGAAACCTGGGCTCCAAATAGTATCGGCGCGATCAAGAGGTTGTTGCTGTTGATGTTGTTGATGTCTGCTGGGCGCAGTCAAAAGGCCCCACGCCACCGCCAGAAGCGAGCACGGTCGCGAGTAACACTATCGCTCGTGCTTTGGGATTATTGGGGAACTACCCGTTTTGCGCCGGTACCTTGCAGCAGACCCGTCGCTGGATCGCACACCGGAACGGTACCAATGGGGCCGCTGGCCGCTAAATGTGCAGGTTTTGGTACCGGACATGGCAATGGCGGCAGGACCCCCTATTCCAAATCCAGATTGCGCCCCGTTTGCGTTGTTGGTGGGAGCTGTGTCGTCCGTAGCAGATTTGAGTCGACATGCTTGGAAGTCTGCGCCCTGCTGTTGGATGACAGGCCGAGGAGATCAAGGTGTGCGCGTCGACGACTGCTCGACTCGCGTCGCCTGTCACCTTTGGGTCGCCTGGGACGGCTCGATCGATGTCGGGTAGGGCAGCAGTTCCGAAATTTGTGGTGGTCGACACACATCCACACATGTTACGAAGAGAGCTGGGGGACGGGGACCACGGGTCTGTCTGTCTGCGTGCGTATCTGCGCGTCTGCCCAGACCGAGAAGCCATTAGCCCCAGGTGGAGTGCATACACAGTAGTGGTGGTGCACGGGAGCTGTTTTGGGTCAAGCGGTCCACCACTGTAGCATGTCTCAGTTGGAGATGGGTCCGGCCCACAGCCGTCAACAGGGAGGCCCCCGGTCAGCCCGGGGCAATTCCCCTTTTCCTAGGTACAGAAACGAAGTCTGAAGTCTTGAAATCCACAATAGAGGCGTCTGCTAGTCGGGGTCGAAGGTGTGGTCGACGTTGACGGCGTGGTAGTCTGCTTGACTTTGGGTGAGGGAGGGATAGACCGGACGGAACGCGGTCCAGGTGCAGGTGCAGGTGCCGGTCTGGGGTGCTTGTCAGCTTCCTTTTTGCCTCTTGGCCCCGGCTGAAGATGTTGTTGAGGTTGCTGCTGTGCTGCTGTGCTGCTGTGCTGCTGTGCTGCCGTGCTGCAGTCGGGCAGTCGGGCTGGTGACGATGGGGTTCCAGGTGCAGGTGCAGGTGCAGCTGCAGCTACAATACAGGAGCATCTGCAGGTCAGGTGATTGGCAGCATGGGCGATGATGAGGACGGATGGATAAAATGGGGAGTCAAGTTGCAGGGTCGCATTGGGAGGGGAGAGGCAAGATTGAAAGGAGATGTGGAGGATTGGACAGGCCCACAGGCCCCACTTTCCCATCTGCCATGTTCATAGTAGATTGCTAGACGGTATCAGAGCGAGGAGGCACCTGCCCCAGCACCACGCGAGTCCAGTGGGTGTTGGGCCCCCTTTCAACCAATTGAGGTCGCTACCCTGCCCGGGTATGCCCAGTGCTATAATGATCTAGAGGTAGTTAGAACCAAGGTAATAAGGTAGGAGAACAGATGCCCAGGTGGGGTGGGAGGTGGTCTCCATCGTCTCTGATCCATACCCTTGGCTGCTCCACACGCATGCAAGTCGGTCGTCAGTCAGTCAGTCAGTTCCTCAGTCAGTCAATCAGTCTGGTTCTGTTCACAATCCTAACCACGACACGAACACGGTGCAACACCATATGTTTCTTCCTCGCCGTCTGTCGGGCTGTCATAACTTTCTTCCTGTCACGGGTTTGAGAGGGAAGACGCATACGTGACTGTCACATTTTTCTTTCTTTCTCGCGATAGCTCTACCTGTCCCCTTTAAGCTTCTCGAGGGCACGTCACACCTCCATCCAACCCTACCGGCCGCCCATCCTTCCCTCTACCGTACCTTTTTTTCTCCAGCATCCATCCAATATCTACAACGACTTTGGAGCCGCTTGGTCGCGCCTCCTTGAACTCTATATCTTACTGCAGAAGCCGAGCTGTTGCTAAGCTCAAGCTTTGTTCGGGTGCCGCACGACACGATCCTGGGCTCCCTCCTGAGCAGGTAAGCATCCAGTGCTTGGGTTCTGTGCCCCGTCCGATGTCATGTCGTGATGCCTCATCATCCACGCAAACATCCCTCCCCTCCCTGCGCGGAATGCCGCTGTTACACTTGAAGTCTCCCAAGGGCAGTCTCTTGGGACAGGGTCGCTCTCGGGGTCATGGTCGGGGGTTCCAGTTCGTTTTGGGCTCAGAGGCGAGACTCAAAGTGGCTTGCTCGCCTTGTACCTAGCCACGGTGTGTGCCGCCTCGATGGACATGGACAACGAGAGGAGACGGTACCTCGTCCTTGGCGCAGCTCCAAACCTCAGCAGTCAGCATCAAAGCAGGTCACGTCGCAGCAAGTGTCAATTCAAAGCCCGGGCCAGAGCCCAGAGTTCAGAATCGAGAGTCGAGGCTGATGGCGGAAACCACCCGACTCGACTCCTCTCGACCCGACCCGACTCAACTCAACTCGACTGGGCTGGGCTGGGCTGGGCTGAACCTTGCGCTGTGCAGGCTGGCAATAAGCCAGCAGTCGAGCCCCGACCATCTGTCCCCGGGGTGCCGAGCAGCCCATCCAACAAGAGACAGCAGTCCGACAGTGTGCCGTTCCTGAACGGCATCCTGCTTGCGACGGAAGAAAACCACACTGCAACCGTCCTTGTGGCCCTGCTCTGTTCTCATTCGCCGCTGCCACATGCTGCCCTCTCTCCCTCGCCCTGAATCCTCGTCTCCTGCGCTCCTCCTGCACCTTGGCAGCACCTACCGCTCCTCTGCGCCTCTTGTCAGCGTCCAATCCTCCCATCCTCCGCCACCACCCACCCTGCCACCCCGCCCCACCCTCCCTCTATCAGTACAGTACACACATAGGCACCTGCCACACATAGCACCTCTGCATACACACGCACATCCATACACACACAAATCCACGCTCACTTAGAGCGATCCCGCCCCCATCTGTTCCTAATTATGGAAAGGCAAAGTCCGCCTCTTCCGTCATACCAACTCTCCAACACTCTCGCATCGGGCGCAGCACACAGCCGGTCCAACTCTACAAGACGCGAGAACAACCAGGCAGAGGCGTCTGCAGTGCAACCCTTCTCTGCATGAAGACCAGGACAACCAGGACGACCCCAAATCCCAGTCTCGCTGCTGATCACACACAAGCCCCGATTCTCGCTGTCCAGCCATTCCCTGCTCCTATTTGTTTCAGTACGCCGGCTCACCTCGCACAGCACTAATATTCCAAAGCAGCTTGCCGTGAGCCCGTCGCATTTCTTTTACACCCACATTGCGCCGACCACCTTAGCCGGTCACCCTCCACCTACAAACGCCCTTCAATCGCCCCAGACGCCAGACGCCTGACCCGACCGCTTCATCCACCCATTGGCCACCAGTCACCTCTGTTTGCATTGTTCGCCATCCTTGGCGGCCCCGCGACTACGGTGCGCTGCCGAGCCGTCAAATACAGCCTTGTGGGACGTTAGACCCGAGTGTTAATGGTCAGCCCCATAACTTCGCCCGAGCATGCCCTCCGCGCTCTCGCTTGAGCAATAAGATCCAATATGGCGTCCCCATTCGAGACTGGCATGTCTCGATCCTCGCCTGAGATGACCACCGCCTTCCAGAGACCTGGCTCCTCCAGGTCAAGAACACACAGCATCTCTAGCGACAGGCCCTCGACCGCCGCCCTGAGCGTCATGTCACCCCCCTTATCCGCGTCACCAGAGGCTGCCTTCATCGCTGCCTCCGCTGCCTCCCAGATTGTCACCAACGACCACGACAGCCACGCCGATACCTGGTACGACCAGCACGGCTTCCAGCCGTCTGGGGAAACCGTCTTGGTCTCCCTCGCCGCCCTGCGTCTGGTCAATGGCTTCCTTGACCACCTCCTTTTCAACTTCCTCTCCAGGTCTGGCTCCACCACCCTGGCTGCCCTCCGGCCCGCCGTCACCGAGGTCCTTAAGCCGAAGCTGGCCAAGGATGCCATCAACAACGCTGATGAGGAGCTTCGCGAGTACTTGGGTGGTGGTGACGACGACGAGTTCTTGCAGTCCCAACCCTCGCCCTCGCCCAGAGACTGGGACCTGGAGCTCGTCTGGAAACGAACCAGGTTGAGGTGCATGGTGTATTCGTCCTTGGGCGACATGGAAGAGGAGGACGAGGATCATCACATGGAAGAAGGCTTACTCAGTGATGATGATGAGAACCTTAGCGGGGTTGTGTCTCCGGCGGTCGCCATCTTCCTCACCTCGATTCTCGAATTCTTGGGCGAGCAAGCCCTGATTTCGGCCGGGCAGGCAGCCTGGCATCGGATGCGCGTCAAGTACGAGAAGGATCAGAATGATGGCCTCAAGGGTCGTTCGGACGTTGTTGACAGGATTGTTGTTGAGGAGGTCGATATGGAGAGGGTGGCCTTGGACCGAACGTTGGGCAGATTGTGGAGAGCCTGGAAGAAACGGATACGATACCCGGTATACAGTTCCGCCGAGATGTCGCCGCAGTCTTTGTCACGAGAGAGGCTTCTCCATTTCCGACAGAGTAGTGTGTCTGCCGAGAGCGCCGTGCCCCCTGCGGTTCAAGAGTCCGCTCCCGAGTCCCCCACCGGAGAGGACCCAGAGTCATTGGTAGGCAAGGCTGCCGCAGGGGAGGATGACATGCAGGCCGCAGCAGTTCCACTCCCGATGAGTGAGAGAGACATCGACGAAATCGAGGTGCCTGGCCTCGTCCATTACAGCGATGACGAACCAGAGGAAGATGAGCCGGAGGAGCTGGATACCGTCACACGACCAAAGAGCATGATGATCTTCCCGGTTACAACCAAGGCTGAGCCTCCGACACCCACGTCCGAACCACACACTCCAACAAGAGCGACGAGAAAGCGCGCAAACTCACTCCCAACCCCGGCTGCCTCGCCTCAGCAGCACAGGAAGGCCGCAGCCCAGGCAAATGATAACGCTGAGGAGCCGGAAACAGCAGATCAGGTTGATATGAACGGCTCCCGAACCGAGCCAGTCGACGGCAGCATCGAGGACAGCATCTCCAGCCCAGAAGAGACGGAAGTCCACAACACGGAAACAGTCCACGGCGACAACAGCAATTCCACTGAAAAGGCCCTTGTCGATGGATCAGAGCCTCAATCCACAGGTCTCATCCCCAAAATTGTTGGTGTTGCTGCGGCTGCTGTTGGGGCTGTCACAGGTGCTGCGGTTGCGGATCGGAATGAGCATGCCGGGACCAAAGACGATGCGGATGAGTTGGACTTCGAGGTTGAGGAGGCCCAAATACTGACCTCCTCAAGGATTTCGATCGGGACCAACATCTCGAACAGGAGCAATTCTCCTGCGAATTCTGACAGAAGCTCTCGACCACCTTTGTCCGTCCAAACTCTCCCGGTCAGGTCGGGATCTCTCAGGCTGGTAAACGTTACGAGTCCACGGACGCCCTCAGTCAGGTCCCAGATGAGCTCGGCCCAGGAGCAGAGCAACAGCTCCTCCTCGCGCTCCGGGGATGTGTCGAGGGCTAGCAGCATCCGGACCCAACCCAACTTGGAGGAGCCACGCGTCGCCGAAGACAGCCGTGGCGTCCAAATCCCTGTTACGGGCTCATCAGGCATGTCACGCGCAAAGGTTGGACAGCCAATATCTGAGGCCGAGGAGAGCACGGAGCCTGCTGTGCGGAAACTCCCGGCGACCTCTGGCCCCGCCGCTGCCGTAGCTTCTCGTAAGGAGACAGCAACTGGCCCCAAGGCATCAGAAGCACAGTCTACTGTCAGGGAAGAGCACCTGGGACAGCAAAAGCAGGCTCAATCTCATGGAACGCAGCCTCTCTTTGGTTCAGTTAGGCGTCAGACGCCGCACTCACCCCCGCCCGCTAGCCCTGACCAGCCGCAGCAGCAGCAGCAGCAGCAATCTGTAGATCAGCAGAAGTCAACTGCTCTGAGCACACCTCCCGATTCTGGGACATTTTTCGAGAATGACGTTGCGCCTCCACCACCGAGGCACCCGAGACGGTCTCCAAGGTCATTTGGCAACCAAACCAACAGCCCCGCGAGCACCCCAATTCCGGAGGAGAGCATTAGCACTAACCAGCATCGACACGGGCATTCGCTGGGTGGTGCATCTCAGCATGGTACCATCGGTGTCGTCTCCGTGGACCGCCCTGATTTGCATCGTGAATATGGAGATGCATCCCGCCCTTCACAAGACCAGAGCACAATCCGCCAGCTACACACCTCCGGGTCATCGTCTGCGTCCTCTCACAAGGTACGGGCCGCGCGAGGTTCTCAGGACAGCACAGCCACTCGACCAGAGGACGTTGCGCGAAACTTTGAGGAGCTCATTCATAGCAACGAGACCATCCAGTACACGTTGACGCCAGAGAACATGCGTGAAATAGAGGTAATGTGCCGAACTTTGGACTGAGCCTCGTGGAATACGTGCTAATGGTTGCGCAGGGCTCGCCGAGGACTATGCAATCCGGCGTATCTGGCAAGGGAAGAAAGAGCGAGGATGTTCGTCAGTCAAACAGGGACCGAGCTGCTTCTGCTGCTACGAGCAAGTCAGGTGACGTGAAGAGGTCGGGGTCCGTGACGCGCCTATCGCCATTGAGTTCGCATCCCGTCGACATGCCCGAGGCCGATTCAACAGCCGGGCCTTCACCGAGAGCTCCACCTGTCTCAATGGCAAACAGGGCCCGTGGGGCTGCGCCTCAAGCTAGAGACGCCAGGGTCCCTCGAGAATCACTGGTCGAGTTCGCCGAGTTCATACGTGCAACTGGTCCTTCTGGTGCTGATCCTGGTCCGGCACCGCTCAAGCGGAACCAAAGTCTCATGAACAACAGGACAGCTCCACGTCAGAAGCCGAGCGCCAACATGAGTCTCGACTACGGACGTCCTTCAATGAGCGGCAGTGTCAGCAGGGCTCGTCTGCAGGCTAGGGGCGCTACAGTCGACAACGACAGCGACAACTCCGACCTTATTGATTTCATCCGCCGTGGCCCACCCAGCGCTGGTGGCAACCCTCGAATTCCTCGGACTGTGGCGCCTTTCCGAACGACCATGGACTCAGACTTGTTGAAGTCAGCCGTTGGCGGCAAGGCCATGGATGCCACGCTGCCCGACATCCACGACACGCGCTATAGCCAGGCCTCCACAAATGTGACGGAAATGTCTGCGCCGTCTGTCCAGTCATCTATCAACTCCCAGAGCGCTCTTCTTGGAAGAAAACAGCCGTCAGGACAGACCGGTAACCCATTCGACGAACCAGATATGATGCCGCAGCGCAAGCAACACCGGGTGCGGGATCCTTATGCCATTGATATCAGTGACGAGGAGGAAGAGGACGACGAATTTGACCCCCAACCGAGGAGAAAGGTACAGCAGCCGAAGGAGGAAAGCTTGATAGACTTCCTGAACAGTGCGCCGCCGCCGCCCGAGTCGGCGCCAGTTCCTTTCAATCTTCCGCGGACACAAACCATGCCTGCACAGCCTACGCAGGCACCCAAGAAAAAGGCGAGTGCGCCTAGTTTAATGTCACGATTCCGACAGAACAACAGCAGCAGTGGTGCAGCTGCTGGAAACTCGAACGGGGTGAAGAGCCCCACGAAGTCGCAGAAAAACCAGAAGAGCAGCGCGCCAGCAGCGAGCAAGGGGTACATCCCTATCCAGGTCAATATCCCCACCGGTGGTGACCTGTTCCCGAGCTACGGTTCAAGCAGCGCGGCCCCGGCTGTCCCCAGCGTGCCGTCCAGCACGTCCTCGTCCCGACCCAGCGGCCGTGTGCCGATGAAGAGATTCGAGCCTCGCGATGCCGTCTCCGTGCCATCGCGTGGCACATCCGACCTGGCCGATTTCCTCCGGAGCTCTGGGCCTCCACCTTCAATGAACACGGCTCCTTACGCTGCCGAGCAACCCGAGACCAACGGTGGGTCTAGGTTGTTTGGCCGCAGGAAGAAGTCGATGGGTTTCGCATAAGACGTCACATCACCTGTCCTCTAGACCAAAGCGGCAACAGGACACTGGACGTTGAAGCCCATCACGACACAAATTTTGGCATCCACTACAACGGTGCATGCCATGCCCCCAAAGCTGAACGGGGCTTCAGAGACCTGTACATACGCCGATGATCGGCGCAAGATATACCTTCCCTCCTCTCCCACGCATTTACTTTTCGCCTCACTCCTTGAGCGGTTCGGCCTCTTTGAGCATTTTACCCTTGATACCACTTTGTTGGACAGGTCATTTTTCTTTCCCTGTTGACATTTTCTCACAAAAAGACATGGTTGTGTGGCCTTGCAATTTGAAAGGAAACAAACGGTGGTGTTTTCTGGTTTGGTGTCATTTGATTTATGAGAGGGAGCCGACGGCTTGTGAGGGTTGAGAGAGCTCAACTTGCTATACACTGAACAAAGGGTTCCTGCGGGAGCATTAACTTGCTGCCTACGGCTCTCGAACTTGTTTGGATCGTGTGTCGTACATGCTGTTTTGTATATGTATCTGGACTCGGCAGTATGAAGTGTTGCAGATAGTGCAGATCTGGTATCGGATCATTCTCTGAGTATTGTGCATGACCGTGATCAAAAGCCCCGCGAACCTCTCTTGCCATTATAAGCATACCAATTGGACTCGCCAACCCAAAGTAGCAAGACCCTGAGTGTGTTGTGGTGTGTTTACAAAATGTGTTTACAACATGTACGCGAACACAGGCATTTTCGAACGGTTGGAGTCACTAGACAGACATGTAAACCTTCGCATATCGAAACCTGTTGTGATACTAAACTGGCTCCTTGGCTGACATGCTGTAGACAGAATTGCCCTGTATTTCGTGGCAGTGACATTCGCCAGCGCTGTCGTGATGAGCTTTCTCCGCTCATGTTGGCGGTGAGCCGTTTTCCGCCCCGCAATTCCCGCCGTTGCTCCCTAGCACCCTGCAACGGCGGGAGGTTCTTCGCGACCACAGCCCACGCAGCCTCTGACACATCGAGCCGCAATAGATATTGAGATCCCTCTTTACGCCCCCCCCCCCCCCCCCCCCCCGAAACCTCAACCCGTCTCACTCCGCGCTCTCCTTCGGTAACTGCCTACTTAATCTCTCACTTGGACGCAGAGTCTCCCCAATTGGCCCGACCTGCCCACCAGGAGAGAGACAGGAGCGTGAGCGAAAAGATGGTACGTCCTGTCACTGCCCCGAGTGAACGAGCAACTCTGCTGACCCCGGCTGTCACCCCAGGTCCACGCCGACGCTTCGACATTCGCCAAGGGCGTCTCCAAAGAGGAGGCCCTCCAGCAGGTGCTTGACCAGGCCGCGGCGCTGTTCGAAGGCCAGAGAAACTGGGTATGTCCAACTCCCCAGGCCACGCACACTTGTGGATATCCGGCACAGGCTGCTTTGCTCCTGCTGCCGCCGCCGCTGCTATCCGGGACATCCGGATTTTAAAGAAGACGAGGTTCTGATGGGGTTTCCCTTCATTGCAAAACAGGTTGCGTAAGTTTTGGATGAGCCACAGTGAGCATTGCGACTCACCCACCCCCTTTTCATCTGTTGTGAGGGCTGTCTCGGCCGTCACAGAAAAAGAGAGAGAAGGAGAGAGAGGGGATGTGTGTGTGAAAGACGGAGGAGAGTCATTGACATGGATTCTCTTTTCTTCCATTCTCGCAGGAACCTGGCAAACACCGCATCGTTACTGTGGCACGCTTACAAGAGCCTCCCTTCCCCGAGCAAGGACGTGAACTGGGCGGGTACGTTCAACGCCCATCTCCCTGCTCCTCTTCCCACCACACCCGGGGTTTGGCTTCGACATGCCCGACGCAGACCTCTACGTTCCAGATAGATCAGTGGTCGGGCACACCTACCACGGCACACTTGTGACCCAAAGGCGCGCACAAACACACACGCGCCTGCCCCCCCCCCACCTCATCCAACAGCTCACTCACCATTTCCTCCACTCCCATAGGGTTCTACGTCCTCGACCCGACCTCGCACGGCAAGAGCCTCATCTTGGGGCCCTTCATGGGCCAGGTGGCGTGCCAGACGATCGACTTTGGCCGCGGCGTGTGCGGCACGGCGGCGGCGGCGAAGCAGACGCAGCTCGTCCCGGACGTCGACGCGTTCCCGGGCCACATCGCGTGCGACGGCGCCTCGAGGAGCGAGATCGTCGTCCCCGTCACCGTGGAGGTGGTCAGCCCCGAGGAGGGCGGGCATGTGGAGAAGAAGGTGGTTGGGATCAGTGAGTTGCCTCTTCTCCTCGACCTCTTGTTCCTATTCTTCTTGCTCCTACTTTGGGCCGTCGGGGATATGCTCCCCTGTTGGTCGGTTTTGAGCTATTCTGGGTGTGGGCTGCTGTCACTGTGCAATGAGGAAGAGCCTTGAGGCTCTGGTGATGATCAAATCACAATGCCGCAGGCCGCCTCCAGGAGCGCCTGAGGCGTGGGGAGTGACTGCTCTCAGCCCCAGGACTACCTCGGACCACGCATGGAGGGAGCGACATTCAGGAACAGCCGGGTCTCTGCAGCGCTTGCCCTGCCGCTGCCGGGTGGGCATACGAGAACGGAGCAGAGGCGCTAACTTATACCTCCCAAGTCGACATCGATTGTGCCGAGAAGAATGGGTTCGATGAGACGGACAAGAAGTATCTGGAGGAGCTGGCTGCTCTCTTGGGCAGGGCGTGCGACTGGTGAGTGCTCGGCGGGAGCATCGTGCGCCAACGATCCTCGCCCAGGCTGGACTCGAGGCTCTCCACGAACGGACTCCTGCGAGGTGCTCAATGAGACCATGGACAGCTAGTAGCCAGAGACGAGGCCGCAAAGCCTTCACTGCGTCACGAGCTTGGAATATGGGCCGGGCACGTGGGTTGGCAGACCGGCTACGACAGCATGTTGTCCGTCTAGACTCTCGAGCTGCCGGCACTGGCAATTGAATGACATTGTCACCTTTTCCCGATTCTCGACTCTGCCTTCGACCCGCCGCGAGCTCACAATGGCTCTCGCAACGGCTCTCGCTATGAATTATGCAGGTCTGTCGCATTCATTATCAACTTGAATATTGCTACTAGGTGGCTTCACGGGATACGTCGTCGATAGCATCTTGCCTCACCGCCTGTCTGTCCCTATAATGGTCCCAATATCTGTTTCCTCGAGGCTACCATTGACTCTGCACAACATCATGGCGAAGCACGGTTTGGAGACCGCAATGCCGAAAGGCTTCTGACCTAGCAGTGAAGATCGCAATCACAGCAGGCACTATTAAACATGTTACGCAACTTTCCGGCCACGGCAATATCAAATCACAACAGACTCGGACCGGCTCCTACACTGCCCGTTGAACAACCCCGTCAGACAAGCCCTATATGAGCTGTCATAAGGCGGTCCCCCCATGGCCCCCCCTCCCCTTTATCCGTCGCTTCTGTCTTTCCCGCAAACGCCATGGCCACCCCCACCCGCCCAATGCCCCTGCGCTTTGGTCCAGGCCCCCAAAAAGGTGTGATCGGCCCGGAGACGACGACCGCTTCCGGGGGGTGCGGAGCGTGCCCATCACGAACCCTAACGAACCCGCTTGGGCCTCCCTATTTTGGGAGGGCGCACTCAGCTCAACGGTTGAATTCTGTCACGCCTGTCATGGCGGCTGCCAGAGCCGTAATACGTGCGCCTATGCACACACACACACACGCACCGTTACAACGTCTCATCAGTCACGCGTGCCCCCATGACGTACTTCTCACGTCCGTCCGGCTCGGGTCCGAGAGCACGGGGCTGATGCGCGCATCGTCCTCCTGCTTCAGATGGGGTAGCCTGTGAATTGCAGGCCGTTCGACTGCCACCTTATTATGAATGAGGAAGTTAACTGCCGTTTCTGTTTCGTGGGGGGTTGCCTGCCCTTGGCCCGGACTGATGGGCAGACAGACGGCACAGTGCAATTGAAGGGAGCGGGCTGGCGGACCGGTACCCGCACGTTCGAGGCGGGATCGCGAGGTATCGTGAGATGCTGAGTACCTGGCAGGAACCTCGTGGGATACATGACCTTGTCTTGAGACAACGTCTGTTCTCGTCCCATCGCCGACATTGTGGCAGCACCCAGCACTCGGACTTATTCACGGTCATAATAATGGTGGCGGGGTGCGTCAGGGGCTTCCTCTGGTGGATGGGCTGGAAACAGCCACGTTTAACCGCCCCTCCTCGATCGTCTTCACACCCTCCCCAACCCCCACCCCAGGCAGAAACACACTTGTGTGTGTGTGTGTGTGTGTATTTGCCGTATCTGAAGCTTACATTGGCACTCCGCAGGACAATTGCAGGCTGTGAGGCCCTCCGATGACTGCGCGAATGCCCCATCAGCTTACGGCAGACACATGTGAATGGAGGGGGACACAAAGGGTAACAGAAGGCCACTGCGAGGGGGAGGAGGCGGCATGGCCGTCCAAAAGCAGAAGCAGGTCGCGGCGGTGACACAAACCACCCAGGCGCGGCCCCAAGAGAGCGTGCATGTACATCGCAGCACACCGTCCCATGTTTGGGTTCCCAATCATGTGGCCGCGATCGTCTTGCATGCAAGATGGGATCGAGGGAAAAAGGAAGGAGGGGGCGTGTGGGTGTGCGGGAGTTGCAGGCCCTGGGTGGGTTGGAAGGGAAAAAAGGAAAGAGGGTGGTGGTGGGCCCTCTGCCTGCCCTGCCTTCCTGCCCTGCCTGCCTGCCTGCCTGCCTGCCTGCCTTGCTTGGAAACTGACCACCACCTGCCTTCACACACATACATGGAACTACAACACACACACATACTTACATCCTGACATACATACGTGCATGCATCCATGCATACATGGACTGACTTACTTACATGCGTAAGCCGCATCCCGCACGGCCGAGAGAGAAAGAGAGAGAGACAGTCAGCAGGGCCAGGATTCCTCGATGCCGAGCAAACAAACCGGAAACATCGATCAACCGCCCGTGCTCGGGCGGCCTTTCCTTCAATGCCTATCTTGCATGTGGCCGTCCACACGATCCTGTCTCAGTCGTCCGGCCTCTGGGAGCGCCTCCCGCAGCTGATTGGGTTCGCAGGTAGATTGGGTTTTGGGGGGCCCCACGGGCGGGAAGGCCGCCCGAATGTGGTTGGAATGTGCAGTGTCGTACAGAGAGTCATTGTTGTTTCCCGCTTCTCTTGTGTGTGCCTTGCTGTGTTCTGTTCCTGGCGCTGCTTCGTCCACCACGCGAGACCCGAGTCTCTTCTCTCCCACCCTCCCGCAGTGCGTGGTGTCTCTGAACTGTCCGTCCGTCTGTCCGTCTTTGTCCAGCAAGACTTTTCTTCAGTGCCCAGCGGGTGTGTGTGTATGTGTCTTTGGCCCCGCTCTGCGGCCACTTCTCTTGTGTCTCCTGGCGGCAGACGCACCGAGAATGCAAGATGAAAGACGATCGGGTGCCACTACGAAGCCGAGGGATGATTGACTGACGGGAAGGCGAGGCCAACCCCTGATCCTCCTCCTCCTCCTCCCATCATAAGCCCTTCTGTGGCCCGCCAGTCTTCCCACCGCCACTGTCATGTCAGACCTTTGGTGAGATGGTGCGAGTCCCAGTCCCGTCCCGTTGGCCCAGCGGGTGGACTTGGATTGGGTGTCAAGACCCGTGGCACCTTTTGATGGGCTCAGGCATTTTCAGTACACAAGACACATATAGCAATAGAAACACACACGTACATACACTTGCACATGCACACACACATTCAATACACTCACGCACACACGCACACGCAGGTCCGTCCCCAGCCCCGTCGGTCCCGAGCTCCAAATCCTTCTAGAAAACCTGTCGAGCGGCAGAGAAGCGCGGAATGCGTCCCACCGTTGGCGTGGCACGAGAGAGATATACCTGTCTCACAGAGGGGTCGAAGGGGACTCTGCTGCTCACCTATTCGTCCCCAGCGTTAGCTGCTAGGAGCCCACCTGCGACCCTCGTGCCACCCACAGCCTTCCTGCCTGCTTTTTTTTTTTGTTTTCCCCTCTCTTCCTCCTTCGCCTTTTCGTCTAATAGCACCTCAAGTCCCCCTGAAACGAGGCCTGCCTCTCTTCGCCCGTTCGACTTACAACTACCGAAGCCCTTCTTTTCTCGGTGGGCAAAAGGAAGGATTGTCGTTTCAATGGTGTGGTCTCTCGTACTGTATAGCACGTGGTCGATAATGGGGCTGACGGCACCAAATACTACCGTAAACGGAAGTGAGGTCGACAGGGGATGGATGCCGAGCGACTGTCAATGTACAGTACATGGCAGGCTCTTGGTGCTTTCCCGTACCGTGCGAGAGAAACACAAAACATCCGACGACGTCTGTCAGGCGAGGCATGGCGGAGGGGTCTTCCCTGCTTGTCTCGCGGCTAGATCCTTCTCAGTGGCCCGTCGATCGTACCTCAGCGCCGGGCTTTACCTCCTTGTTCGGGTGTCGATCCCCGGTCCTGTGAGAGGAAGGGGGATGGGAGGGGGGGGGGGGGCTCCCTCTCGCGCGTGGCTCTTTCCGAGGGGGGCAGATCATTCGAGGCCCCCTTGTGTGGTACACTAGGCTGCGGCTGACATGATGCCTAAACTTTGTTTGTGGTGTCGCCTGTCTTGTCTGGTGGGAAGGGGCTCATCAGGTTCCAAGAGGCGGGCTGGCTTCCTCGTCACAGCGCGCCAATCCATAGTTTACCCGGGCACGCACGCAACGCTAGCTTTAGCCCCGAGCAACGGTCCTTCGTGGTGGGCAGAGACGGGTCGCTATATTAGACTGGCTGACAGGCCTTGGCGGGTCCCGGACACCAGAAAATCTTGGGAGGGCAACGCACACACCACACCCGTTCTGGACAGCTCACCACGCAGGAGACCGGTGTGAGATCTGGGTCAGAGATAGAGTTCCAATAGCTCCCGGAGACAGGACCATGGTTTGGGGCAGGAAGGGACGGAGGGGAGGGAAGGGAAGGAGGCGCACGCACACACCACGCGCACGGGGCAAGCAGAATTTATCAGCCGACGCATGAATTGTCATCGACAGGCCCTTCCTTCAGATTTCCTCCGAGATGAGATGAGATGCGATTTCGATGAGATGAGATGAGATGGATGGAGGGGCGGATGGATACCTGCCGCGAGATCCCAGATCCGGAGCTATGGCTTCGCATCGGACCAGATACATCGGCAGTTAGTGTGCGCAATGTTTCCCGGTTGGTGGGTGGCCGGCGTTGTTCGCGGGTAGCCAGGCAAAGCTGCCCAGTGGGAGCGGGCAATGGACGCCAGTCCCGGACGATTGGAACTACTGTGTAGCATTCGCATTTTTGCTCATCCGGGGTGGGGACGGGCAGATAGAATTGATTTCGTCCTCGCTGCTGGAAAGTTGTCCGCCAGCCCAATGCGGTAGCATCAATCTCCACATGTGGCTGTTGTGATGGTGTCTCGTCGATCGGCTGTTTGGGAAGCATGAAAGGGCGTCATATCCCTTCTCGTTTGGGCATGTGCCCCGTGAGAGAGGGACAGGAACGCCATTCTGTCCCTTCCCGAGGACAAGACTTATTTGCATTGTACTTGTAGAATGCAGGCTATAAGCCAAGGTTTCTGGGGTCGTCAGCATGCTGGCATGTGGGCACGTATCTGGCTGCGGAAAGCACCGCGTTGAAACGCCCGCCCAATGGGGCTCCCGAGATGAAAGCTGACAGGGTGTGGAGAGGGCTTGCCTGTCAAGATCTGTTGGCTTTTTTTTTTCTTTCCAAGCACTTTCTGGCCAGGCACGATGTCACTCGGCCGCGGCGGCGAGAGCGTGGCGCCGGTGT